CAAATTGAATTTATGTTTGTAGGATCCACTGAATTCTATGGTCATCCATTGTGATGCAAAGCTTCATGAACTATTGGGATGTGAAAGCATATCTGTACTGGGCATTCAGGAGATGCTTGTCCGCAGTCATTTATTGAAGAAATCATGAATTCTATATATGTGAATGGTAAGTAATAAATTGCATTGTATGTGCCACTTGCTGATGAGATGTGTTCATTACTTCATTTCTAATTGGTTTTATTTTAGCCTGGGTAGTCTTCATATGGACCTTTTCTTGTTAAGTCATATTACATTTCCCTACTCTTTTTTCTTTGTCTTCTTTTTATTTATTTTTGGCTACTTCATGTATTATTTCCCTTCGGTAGCTAGTCATTGTTTATTTGCCTATTATGGTCTTTTTGCATGCTGCTTTGACCTAACTCTCCCCACAATTGAAACTGCATCGATGTCTCAATGGTTTATGATCATGTTACCCTGCCGTTCCTTTTTTGGCTTGTTTCATTTAATAAGAATTTACCCTGAGCAATCGGATCTTGTCTCTTTCGAAAAGCACTATCTTGATCTGATAGTTAAATCGGCTTTTTTTAAGGAGATAAATATGATCTACTTTTTTCCTGATGGTGGTAATTCTTATAATAAAATAAATGATGACCAAGGTAGATAGTCGATGACTGCCATGATGGGTGCTAGAGATTCTAATTCACTATGATTTCTTTGTGGAAATATGACTTCCCACACGATTGTAATTTCATGGAAGATGTTCATTATTAATTGGTTTAGACTTTGGATGGTGATTTTTGAAACGGTCATTGTTAGTCAAAAAGCAAAGATATTAAATAATTGCCAGTGGCGTCATTTAGAAACTGTCTTTGTTGATATGATGATTGTTTGAGGAATAAGCAATTTCAGTATTGTGGGCCTTATGAAGTTTTAAACTGTTTTAACTTCTTGCTGGAGCTTTGAAGTATGCCATTTTAGACTAAATTTATTAATTCTTCATTTGACTTCATTGAATTTGTCAAAAGGATCTTGATTTTGTTCTTGCATTTTTTGCATAATTTGTCAAAAGGATCTTCATTGACTTTATTCGTGTTCATTTTTTGCAGGTACTGTAACTGGGTAGTTGCTTATGATGACTTGACTGATCCCACAATAAATATGTAATTTCTCGTTTCTTTTGATTGTTGTCTCATGGTTTTAGGTGTGTAAACTATGATTGTTATGACTTAGTGCCCTTTGGCTGTGGGCTAGACGTGTTCTGTAATTATGGCATGGCATTTTACGCGGTTTAGGTTTCCCTTTTGTCTATTTTCGCCTGTTAATCTCGTCCAACTGATGTCACTGTAATGGGTAGGAAAAAATGTTGTTGGTGATAATATGTCTTTTGACACCTTTACCATTGTTGTATATATGCCAGCACTTTCTTATATGGGATAAGTGATTTTTCCTGCTCAAACTCTAACCAGTACTTTTTAGTGCTCTGAGTTCTGATAATGCAGTAATTAATTATTCTTTGCTCCTCACTGAGACCCATTTTTGGGGGTGGAAAATGGAAATACTCCTTGGATTTGTCCAAGTAGAAGAAAGAAAAAGAGAAAAAAAAAATTAAAATTGAAGAGAAAAGAACAATATATATGCCATAATTCTTTATATTTTCATTGGAAGAATTTGCCCAATTAATACAATAGTTGGAAGTGCAAAATTGAGGTGGTGAAATCAGATCCTAAAAAATAACTTAACTATGTAGTAAGAATAAAACTGCAACAGCCAATAGAAGTAGGAGGAAAAAAGCAATGGTTCTTCTTGTCTTGTTCTTAAACAGGGACTTGGGATTGAGCTTTTCTATGGCCTTCATCACCATGGAGAGTACTTTCTGTCCAGAGATAGGATGTAACACTTTCAGTGTCTTTATTTAATTAAAAAAAAAAAACATAATTAATCATAAGCTAATCAAACTTTGTAAGCTCACCAGCCTAAGAGGTTCCATATGAAGGATTGGCTCCAAGAACATCTCCACATTCCTAATTCAAGAGTTAGTGTAAACATAATTAGCGCCGCAAAAAAATCTTCCTACTCCAATTAGACTACTTTTTTGTACAATTTCAAAGTTACGAGACTACTTTTAATTATACTCGTACGAAATGTCGTTCGTATTTCATGGAGGCTTACTTGATCATCACCTTTCCCTGGTAAACATGGCACATGTGCAAGCTGAAATCTTTTCCCAGAGGCCAAGGAACATTTTTCCATTCTTTAAAAACATGCAAACCCAATCCAAGACAAGATAGAAGTAATGAAATATGCAACTTGTACTATAGAATACCCAATATATNTATATATATATATATATATATATATATATATATATATAATATAAATATAAATAAATGATAAAAATCAAACCTAGTTTCCATGATACACTAACAACCATGCCATCATCAATGGTTTGTTGCACAACAAACTCAATGTTATTCCCCAAGCTTTTCATCAGCCAGGCAAAGAAAGCCAACACTTTCTGCAATTTAAACCATCCAATATCATATATACCAACAAATTACATAATTCACTGTAATAGGCACTAATAACATGTTATATGTGCAACTTAAAAAAATAAAAATAAAAAATGACCTTTTGGTTGACAAAATTCCATATTTTTGCAACAGAATACATACCTTCTTACCAAGAAAAGGTCTGAATGCAGAAACAAAATTCGAAACGCACGAACATTCTTCGGCTATTATATCAGAAAGCTCACGACTATTCCTGTTTTTAATCGCTCGGTAAAGCTGAAGCACAATCTCGAGGGCCTTGTTCTCGTCTTGTGGGCCCATTTCGTGTTTGGCGCCACATGATACCGCCATGCGGCCCGTTCTCATTGGACCGTTGCTTTTGGAAACACCACACGACAACTTCAAACCATGAAATTTTTTTAGGCCTAACCATAAATTGGGAGGATTTTTTGTCATTAACCACGTAAGGGAGTTTTTAGACATTTTGCCCATGAGTAATGCAGAGGGCATACAGCCTGAGGCCATGTGGCCTAATAAAGCTTGTTTGGAAGATGATGATCATGATCAAGAAATGTGGCTATGTCCCAATTGTAAATCCGAAAGGAATAGGAAAAGCTAGAGTGCTGGACTACTGTGTATGTTGTGGCGAATAAAGGTAGGTTCGCCATTGCAAGTTTAGAATTTTTTTCTTTTTGTCTTTTATCAACACTTCAAAGAGTTTGAGAAGTTAGAATACACGAGGCCTAATCTAGCTAGTACTAATGTCTTCATGCATAAGAAATGGTGTTTGCTACAATTTTTAATTTCTTATGATTATGGATTTTAAATGAATTTTTATTAGTTGATAGTTTTTAACATAATTTTGGGCTAAAATAGTTTTTTAGCCCGTTAAAAGACCCTTTTGTTACTTTTAGTCCTGCAAAAGGTCTATTTTGGGATTTAGTCCAGGAAGTGATTTTTTTTTTTTGAAATATCTAATTATGTCTGGAGTGGAACCACAACTCTGTGCCCGATCTGACTTCCGCCTAGTTGCTCGGGCCTGCGGATGCAACTGGGACCGCCGATGAGCTCCCTTAGCCCACATGCTTAGGCATCGGGGTTTAAAACGGCCCGTAGAAGTTTGGAGGTGGACCTGCTCCGAGCAGACGCGTGGCGATCCACAATACCGTCAAAAGTGTGTTCTATGTTCTTCCTGTAAGCTTCGTTCGCCATGGCTATATTGTTTTGATGGCTTTTTTAAGTATTTCTCATAGATGACGCCAAATGTTGTGTAATCGACCTCTGTCTGGGTGACACGACTTGGATCTGCTTGTAGACCTGCAAAATAGGCTCCCGGCATTAGCACTCCGACGATCAAGTTAGTTCACAAATGAAGGAGACGATGAACAATGTATGTACTTCACCCCTTTATAAGGGGTGTATTACCTTATTGCCCAAGATTGCCTGGATGAGCTACCCAGACAGCCCCAACTGCCCATCCGTACTGCTTAAATTGGCCAATTCTGTTAGGTCACGTGTGGTTCTTATCTTAATAATATTCCTTCTTATCTATTTGTGTGCTTTATTAGACAGCCTAATCATGCGACTGACCCGATTCATCTCGAAGTGGATTGTTGTTTGCACTAAGCTCATATACTCTATTCTTCTGGTCGATCCGTCGACCAGTCATGCCTTCAGATTGAGTTTCAGTCAGACCGAGAATCCTAGCTCAACCTGTCTGTGCTCATTTGGACTTATAACATTCTCATTGACTTGAGGACTTTTTTGCTCTATATCTCCTTCGATCTCTGTTCGGTTTACCTATAGTTCCATTCGACCCACCACTTCTGTCCGATCCGGTTGACTAGTTTATCGGTCTATTCGACTTAGTATGGTATCCCATATCAAAAACATAATTTATAATAAAATAATAATTAAGTATTATATAGTGAATAAGAATAAGTAAATTTGATATTTTTTTTATATCAAGAAATAAATATATATACTAAAATCAAATTATATTACTATAAACGTGTTAGCGGAATAATATATTAATTAATTTACAAGTTAGTGTAATAGACTCATGTTTAACGTTATGACTAAAAACACAACGATGATTAAAATATGTGGAAAATATATGATTTAACTCTATTGTTTTTTAAACACATACGCTGTGAAAATTACTCATTTAACATCTTTGTTACGAGCTAGTAGGGTTGAACTTGAATGAACTCGAATCCACCCACATAAAATTTACTCCCCATACATAAAACAAAACTCAGCATCTAATTGGGCCGAGTCGTGATGGTGGCTTCTTAACAGCGGGCCTTTCCAAACAGTCGAGGCCTCTAAATTCTAATAAACTGCTCACAAAACGTCCTTTGCCTCTTTAGGATCGAACACTCCAACCTAAGATCGGAAGAAACTCAAAGCAGGGAGATCCAAAACAACAATGGCGGAGGATTTGGTACTGGACACAGCGATTAGAGATTGGGTGCTTATACCGCTTTCAGTGGTCATGGTCCTCATCGGAGTCCTCCGTTACTTCGTATCTAAGCTCATGCGCTCCGACCAAACCCCCGATCTCAAAATCGTCAAAGAAGGGTACTTTTTGGTTTGTCTTGTTATTTGTTGAAGGTATTGGCATCCAAGAGTTCATCATCATTCTCGATTCCCTTGAATTTGTTTTTGGGCCAGGCAGTTGATAATTAGGGCAAGAAATCTTCGGGCTGCGGCCAATTTCATCCCGGCCAGGTCGTTCCGAGCTCGCAAGCACTATTACAGCAATGAGGTATGAGATTATTCTCTGTGCAACTTTTTTCTTAGTGGTGCTTGTAGTTTGGTTTTGGCTGGAACACAAATTATTATGTTTTTGGGTTGAATATGTTAAATATATGAAGGATAGCGATCTTGTTGCCTAAATATTAAAGAAATTAAAAAGTAGTTGTAGTGAACTTATGGAGATCAGTGAATCTATCAAATTTAGAAATTAGAACACTGATTGTTAAACATGCATGCTGACCATTAAGTCAGGCTTTTCAAATGTAAAAGAAGCCGTGTGATTTCTAGTAACTATAAGCACATGAAAGGCGCTCTCTTTGATCAACGTAACCTTGTATAAAATTCTACTGTTGTCATATTATGCACCAACATGTTCGAAAAGAGAAACAAGTACATGGCACTATAGTTATGGTACACTCCTGTTCAAATACTGCTGCTGTTGATACTTTGATGGATATGTTGGAGTCACTAACAGATGTAAGTTTTGCATTAGTTCCTGATGAGAACCGTTTGACTTCAAATTTCAGGAGGATGGTTTATTACACGTGCCTAAGGGCCAAGGTCAGAACCCACAGGCACAGATGTTCTCGGATCCAAATATGGCTATGGATATGATGAAGAAAAATCTCTCGATGATCATTCCACAGGTATGATTTCCGTGTACGTCAGTGTTTAATATTATTTTCATCTTGGAGAAAATGTACTTATTGTAAATGTGTGTTTATTTACTTGGACAGACACTCACTTTTGCGTGGGTCAACTTTTTCTTCTCTGGATTTGTAGCAGGTTTGTTTGTCTTATATTCATGTTTGACCCTTCTTCATACAATTGTGTATCAATGTGAGATTTGGATCTTTGGTTATTCATATTTGAGATTGTAGAGTTAACTTTTATGTAATAGTTTAACAATATTTATTATCAACAACAACAACATACCCAGTATATTCCCACCCAACAGGTTGGGGTCTGGGGGTCAGTTGTACGCAGACCTTACCCTTGTAATTATACAAGGAGGTTGTTTCCGTAGCGACCCAAGGTGCATTGTGCCGTTTGATATATTTTTTTTTCTAGAAATTTCACTAATAGAAGAAGCACTAGAATTTAATTGAGCCATTTTGATCTAGTCCATTATTAGCACTATGCCAGGAGAATTGTCAACAATGACCCTTCCAGCTCCATTTGATATAGTTTAATAATTTTTATTATCATGTGAAAACAAAGAGTTAATTATTGGATTAAACATAAATTTGTCATCCTAAGTTTTTGTCTTCTGGATTTCCCTACCCTAGTAACACTGACATGGTTAGCTGCTCATCTTGTTTTCCAGCAAAGATTCCATTTCCACTTACTCAGAGATTTAGGGGAATGTTGCAAAACGGTATAGACTTGAGCACTGTGGATGTGAGCTATGTCAGCAGTCGCTCCTGGTATTCTTGCTACTCATTAATACGATAATGTCACCAATGGCACATATTTGCTTGTGACTTTAGCAGTGTACATAATGATTTTGCTTTATTTGGTAGGTATTTTCTCAATCTATTTGGGCTACGAGGACTTTTTAGCCTTATTCTTGGAGAAGATAATGGTCAGATAAACTTTTGCTTAACGTTTCTTCCATGCGTACTGCCAACAACAATTAATGAATAAACTGAAAAATTATTTTGGCTTTGATTGTATATTGACCCAATCATTTGGCGTTGATCAGCAACTGATGATACACAACGCATGATGCAAATGAGTGGATTTGGATTCGATCCTACAAGGGTAAGAGCTTTCTTTATTGACTATACATGCTTGTGACAAATAGGAACCAGTAATGTATCTAACCACCTTTAATTAGTTTATCTCGAGACCCACCCCTTGTGAATAAATTGGTGTTCGGCAAATTATTGTTTCTGGGGTTGCGATTGAAGGTTAAGGGACTAAGGGAGTAGCAATGAGCGAATGAGGAATTTTCTGCTGATGTTTATGTTCTGATTTGGGGGAGATTATTTTTTTAGTTTGGACGTCTTGGTGATTTGTTTTCAGATGTCTGCTGAAAGTACTCCCCATCCATGTTTTAGTTTTGACTCGAGTCCCTACTAGCCCTGGGTACATCAATCAGTGGCACCCAATTCAAACTTTCTGCATCAAGGATGTTAAATTGGAAATTTTGTTATTTGCCTGCCTGATCTGATGTGAGGCGTGTATGGAGCAACATGAAATGCTAAAAGTAGTTCAAAGCTTCTCTTGGAGAGAATAAACTAACATAGATGTATGGTTGGCACTAAAACATGATAGTGCGAGTTGCCAACTCTAACCTGTTTCTTGTGTGCGAGTTTGTGTTGAAAACAGTCCCACAATGCATAAGCATTTTGAATATTTGCGATTTCAAATTGATTTCTTTCAAACCCATTATTGGCATTTTATTTTCTTTTCTTTTCTTTTTTTCTTTTTTGGTTAACTGTGGAGATCCCTGACCAGTCCCAACCACACATTGCTGGCTAATGCTCTCTAGTAATCGATCTATCACTTAGGTTTCACCAAATTTTTCCTACCAAATTTTTCCTAAACCATTTTCCCAAGGTAGTCCAGCCTCAATTCCTTTTTGCTGTAGATGACTTAAATCCTTTTTCTTTTGGTTATATAATGTTGAAAAGCTAAAACAAGCTAGATATCTAAGCGTTTTGTGTCTGGTTGTGACTAAAGCAGCACTAAAAACTGTGATGATTACATAAGGAATCTACACATTGACATAGGCATTTGTCACGAGATTAGAGCAGGTAGGCAACTTTGTGGGTCTGTGTAGTTTATTTATGATTTATAGATGCTGTTTTTTTATGCAAGCAAATATTTATATTTCTTACTCTTAAGATTGCTTGTACTGAAATCTGAGTATGGTGCGTGCATGCTCAAGCATGATTCCACTGCCTCTCATAAAAAACAAAAACTTGGGTAATAATTATGTTTGTGTCAACATCTTATGGTTTATATTTGTGGGCCAGAGCTTGGGAGCGGAGAAAGATAATCTAGACATTGTCCAGCATGAATGGGCCTTGCCGAAATTCGAGCAGCGAGCAGAAGCTGTTCTTAAGAAACTCGTGAGCTGAAAATAAAGAGCATCAGAAGTCTTTATTCTTAGATTGTTGCTGATTTTATCCACAAGTGAAAAGAGATGGCATAGGCATCAAGTACGTGCTTTTTGAGTAACGCATTTCTTGGCCTTGCTACTTTAGTCGAGTGAACTATATATGATGCTGGATGTTGATTTATGCATATGGGCCATTAGAAAATATTATGGAAATTTAGTTCAGAGTGTTTTAAATATGACTGTTCCCAATAAGAATGTTCTGCAAGGAAATTTTATCTTAATTATTCTGTCCAACGGTTTAGGGTATAATTACATTTGCTATGGTTTGCTGGTATTGTAAGACCTCAAAACAGGATTATTATGAATGAGAGACTTATTCCATGACCAGAGATGAATCTGAATTGATAGAGTTCTGTGGTTGAGCATTCTGTGTTATGCGAAAAGTAGTTGACGCTATAAGCATTCTGTGTTATACGAGGAGTTGAATCTTAGGGATTTGGGGCCTCCTTTTGGGGAGTTTGCTGGTTATCTATTAGTCAAAGAATCCCCCACTATATTTTTTTAACAAAAACATATATTTATGTTATGGAATATTGTATTTTTGTTTATGTTGTCTTTTTAGAACATGATATTTGAGTTTGAGAGTAAGTATTGCCTATTGAAAAAATTATGAGCTTCTAATTTGTCATGTATCCAATATATGAGGAATGGACTTTTATTAGGAAGTTATATTATATTAGTATTTTAGCTACTTATTTTATATATTAGTTTTACTATAGAATTGTAACTATTGCAATTTAATTCATGAGTCAAATTTGTAATTTCTTAAAAAAAAATAATAAATGCACATTGTGTGTAGATATGCACATTAAAAATACAGTCATATTTATACGATTTTTTAAAAATTTAATAAATATACAATATTGATAAATAAATTTGACGAAGACGAGATTGCCCTTGCATTCTTGGATAAACACGATTGATTGGGTCCTTTAGTCTAGTTATTTATTTCAATCATCATTATTATTATTACTACCCTTATTTGCATTATTTAGATGGTATGTGAATATTTATTCATTTCCCCTTATCCTTGTCTTGGTTGGTAATTTAGGGCTGGGTAGGACTTTTATTTAAGAAGACTTCTCTTCTATTGGATGGGGCCGATCGATTGAAATAAAAAAATATATCAATTGAGAGTTTTCTCTTGTTCTTTTCTCATTCGTTATGTTGCGCGACATTAGTTGGTATTCAGATACTAGTACAATCCAAGATGTTGTCATCGAGTCGTTAGGCCACAGACGAAAGGTATTCAGATACTAGTACAATCCAAGATGTTGTCATCGAGTCGTTAGGCCACAGACGAAAGGCTTGACGCTGCCATCGAGTTGTTGGGTCAACAAGTCACGGAGATCATCGCTGGATTTGGATGACAAATCGATTTCATACGATGTCAGCTTGCGGACTTGGCCGCGGGGTTTGACAAGATATGTATGGTCGGGTATAGCGATCGGACGAATCGCTCCCATGACAAGGGACGCAGTGGGATGCGCAGGGGTCGCGGTCGGGATCCTCATGGGGGCCCCGGTTCTCGGTCGCCTCACTCGCGAGTCAGAGGGAGTGACGAGGAAGACACCTTCTCCGAGTTCAACCCTTTTGGTCATCAGACGTGAGATGACATCTTTTGGGTCGACGATTGTCGACATTCCAGAGTTCTCCTGCGGCTTGGACGCATCGGAGTTCTCCTCGTGGAGCAGCACCTTACGCGGCAGGCTGCAGCCTCCCTTTTGCCGACAGCACGGACAGACGAGACAACCCAGACGCGACGGGATCAGCATCCGCGACATTTGGTCGCCCAGCTGTAGCTCCCATTCAACCCTTGGCCTCGTTGACTGGCCAAGCGGCAGGAGACAAACCAGCGGGGGGTCTGCGATGCTTCTCGTGCGGCGAGCAGGGCAACCGGTAGGCTATGCTTCAACACCCAAGTCCGAAAATGATACACCATTGGGTGATCTTGTGGATGCGGTCGATGTGGACAAGCGACTTGCGGATGCGCGTCATCGCCATGACGATTTCGAGGTGGGGGAAGATGTGTGGGCCGTATTGATGCTGGATGGATTTTCTGCACGTGCGTATATCAAGTTGTCGGCTCGTAAAATCGATCCAAATGCGTATTGCCTTCATTTTCCTTCCCACATTCGTACCTCAGACGTCTCAATATCAAACATTCGGTGCGGGTCTGTGGCAAGATTTCAGACGAAGACGATATTCGACTGGATTTCGAGGACTAATCCTTCTCAACCATGGGAGCATAATGAAGACGAGATTGCTCTTTGATTGGTTCCTTTATGCTAGTTATTTATTTCCATCATCATCATCATTATCATCATCATCATTATTATTATTACCCGTATTTGTATTATCTAGATGGTAAGTGAATATTTATTTATTTTCCATTATCCTTGTTTTGGTAGGCAAGTTAAGTAATTTTGAACTGGGTAGGACTTTTATTTAAGAAAACTTCTCTTCTTTTGGAGGGGTCAATCGATTGAAATGAAAAAAAAAAAATATCGGTTGAGAATTTTCTCTTGCTTTTTTCCCATTCGTTACGCTGCGCTACATCAAAATTGCACAATATTGTGTATATCTATGCTACTGTTATATTTATATGAAATTATAAAATTCTCACCCGCCTAAACAATTAAAAGTTAAAAAATTTACCAAAATCTCACAACGGTTTTCGGACTTTTATGGAGACTGAACAGAAGAAAACCTTATCAAGGTTCCATTATGGTCACAGAATTTCTCTCCAATTTGTATTGCTGCAGCGCTAAAGTCCGCCTCCTGAATTTTTTTTTTTGTTTTTTTGTTTTTCTTTTTTAAGCTGTGCATTACCCCACATCATCACCCAGTTGAGAAATTGCTGGACACTGGGGAAGCCTTCCCCACAAACACTAGTTTTTCCATGTCGTCTACAACAGCTAAGCAGCACATCAACAGCTACAAAAGCCTTCTCCACCCAACTCTTGCTATCCTGTATCCTGTGATCAGTTTGCCAGCTTGAGTTTCAACAGACCCCCAGAATATTTATTTATTTATTTACTTTTTTGGTTTCATAGGAAATAGATACATGTAAAAACTTCATCACCATATATTAACAAAATTCAAATCAACAAACAGATCAAGAATATTAGAAATGTTGGAATGATCTGCTAATGGGAATCTAGAAGGAAAACAAAGGGCACATTTCAAAAATGTGTCGCCTCTTAACCCAAGAAGTTGGTCAACTTTCGGTTCATCAGTTGAGGGCACAACATGATTCACTTAAAATTACGAGGCATAAAACACAAGGCATAGAGATTGAGGCAGATAAGACAAAACATCTACAAATAAGTCAAATTGCTAGTGGGAGAGGGCAGCTGGATGGGGGGAACCATTCAGATATGCTCAAGCTTCAAAAGTTGCTTGACCATGTTTTGCAACTCCTGCCTAAGCATTCTAATGAATAACTAAAATCAAAATACAATTTCTAATATCTAATTTTTGTAGTCGTTAGTCAATATCTCTAATGTTTTATTTAAAATTGTGGAATCCAATTTCGGAAGAGGTAAATTAATAGGAAATAATGTATGTCAGTGCTCACAATTCAAATCACCAAAAGTACAAATTTTGTAAAATTATTTTACCTACAAGATATCACTCTTTCATATATAAATGCACCGGTAACATTTTGCTAATAAGCTTATTGTACTTCCAGGTAATGGTACCTGCAATAAGGAAAACCACAATTAGCTTTAGACAAGTTCAATGCTGAAACAACAACTGCCATTTCAGGACCACAAAAAATACAAAGAATATATGTGACTAACACCATATGCATATAGAGTAAGCTAGAAGAAAAAAAAAATAGGCACCTATATATTTTTTGCAAGCTCCAAGTTGCTCGAGCAACTGAAAATCTATGAAGTGCGACGTCCAACACTTTCTTTTGTGGATATTGAGAGCAAATATAAATTTCATGAAATAAACAGGAAAAGTTTAATATGCTGCGGTCAACCTACCTCTTCGTGCTTTTCTTCCTCCTTTCAGTTTGTTGAATTAAAGCACCAACTTAAATCCCTCAGACAAAAAGTCATCCCTGATAAAAGAGGGGAAAGAAGATGACGTTCGTTCATCAAAGAATAAATTAGGCTCAAATAAAAATGAACGGAAGAATAAAATATATTTCCTGCACGGCGAACGTATTCCTAGGTCAGTTATCTTAAACAAGTAGCACGCCCAACAATGGTGAATCTCAGATCCATAAGGGTGACACAAGGTAACGAAACTTTTATATCATTAAGTCACCAAGATCACTCCCACCAGAAAAGAGACATGTACAATACCTCATACCAGATGCTCGTTGTATATGAATAAGTTCTAATTTTAATGATTAACATCCATAGGAGAAGCCAAAGACCTATATGCTACAAAAGATTTGATTCAGAAAATAAAACTCATAGCTAATAAAACTAAATGTTATTGGGTTATGTGTTGCACAACTGAATGCTATACAAGAAACAAAATAAAAATACCAACTGAATTAAACAGGTAGTGATCAAAATACGGTTAAGAGTTTTACCTTTTATTCCTGATCTTCTTTGCCTTGAATTTCTCTTTTCCCAATTTCTTGACCTCATCCGGCCTGCTAAACGAAAAAAGGCTCTCGACACATGGCTCAGCATAGAACACGAAAGGCATACCGTCAACCGAAACAAGCTCAGTGGTTTTCTTTTCCACATCATACCAAACGAGCCTCTTATCATCGCAACTCAGCAGAACCTTATCACCTTCCCTGGAGTACAGAAGTGGCTTCACAAAATCACGGGGCTCGATCGCCGGTGGACAAACCGTGAGCAATTTAGACCATGATTCCCTCACTCCATACTCTCTCATCACCCAAATGACACTTCGGTACTTGTAATTACAAGCCAGAGAAAGAAACCCTCCGATCACATCCAAACTCACATCGGCATTCATACTCTTGATCCCAGAAGGCATGGACACCTCGTAATGCGTCTCACTCTCGACACTAAAGGCCATGATTTTCCCCACGTACACACTACCAGGTTCCACCACTAAAGTATGCAGGGCGCCATTAACGTGAGCACGCCACTGACCTTTCAGGAAAGGCAGCGGGTACGGAAAACCCTCGATTTTCCGCCAACAACTCGATCTCAGGCCATAGACCCTAGCGTCCGATTGCACCCAATCATGAGTCAACCCGTTCCTAAACTCAACAAGCCTAATCACCTTGTAATCGTCGTTTCTCGAATCGTACCCCAACCCGTAAGTGGTTCTGGAGTATGATTCCAACCCTGATGGAGCTTCAGCAGAAGTCTCCGGCAAAACCTTGTAGTCCCTCGAGTAAGGGTTCCACAGGACAGGAGGCTCGCTCATCACGAGAACTATGCCATTGCAGGAGTTGGAGATCTCGTCCACGCTCTTGTAGTAAAATGGGGGTTTGATGATCTCGGCCCTGTCAAGGGTATCCAAATCGACAGAGTAAAGGCCGAGACCACCGAGGATGAGCCGGCGGTGGGAATTCGAAGCCAGCGACCGGCGCAGGTGGGACTTGGCGAAACTTTCGCTGTCTATCAGAGAACACCACGATTTCACGACGGAGCGAAACCGCTTGAGGGATTTCACGGGGAGGCGCAGGAGGATGTCCTCGATGAGCTCGAGCGGCAGATTGGGCATTTTTCTGAGCTCGATGGATTACAGTTGGAAGCTGAGAAATTAGGGCAGTGAAGTTTTCTATGAATGGAAGGTGAGGAATTATGTTATGTTTGGCGTGGAGTATGGGTTCGACCTTATTGTCATGTACACGTTGCGTAAGAATTGTGCCACACATGTTTAATTAATTATAATTTATGTAGTAAATATACATATTTATTAGTGGGAAATAGATGAGTCATAGGTGCATTGGTTATTCAATATATTTTTTTTAAAAACAATAGAAATTAATAAAATAAAAACACATATATACAAACTAGATAGCAGCTAAACAATCAAATAATCAACTACTCAACTGAATGTAGTTGGGAGGACTAACCTCATAGTCGGGTAACCCGGGACAACATAGAACCAACATAAACACAACTTACAACAACGAAAAAACAAAAAACAACCATAATATGGCATACAAGAGTTCTTGTAGAGTTGGGCATCGTTGGAGAGTTGGACCATCGTTGGAAGTGATGTAGTGGCGGCTATACAAGAGTTCTTTCGCTTCGGGTCCCTCCTAAAGCAATGGAACCACACCGGCCTCACGCTTGTCCCGAAGACCTCCCACTCCTCGCGAGTAGCGGACTTCTGACCAATTGCGTGTTGTAATACGGTATACAAGATTTGCTCCAAAATCCTTGCAAGGAGAATTAGCGAAGTCCTCGACTCCATAATTGATGACGCCCTAGCCGCTTTTGTGAAAGGGAGGTGTATCACGGACAACATACACCTTATGCAACAATTGTTCCGGTTCTACTTGAGGAAAAGAGTCTCCTCTAGGTGCATCATCAAAATTGACCTCCGTAAAGCTTTTGACTCCGTCTCTTGGTCATTTTTTAGGCAAATGCTCGAAGGCTTAGGCTTTCTATCGACCTTCACAAGGTGGGTCTTGAAGTGTGTCACTACTCTGTCTTACTCGCTATCTATTAATGGAAGCCTCACGGGCCATTTCAAAGGAGCTCGCGGCCTAAGGCAAAGCGATCCTCTTTCGCCTTTCCTTTTTGTGCTATGCATGGAGTACCTTTCTCGTCTCATTAAATGCAACACGTCGGAAGGCTCGAATTTTAATTTCCATCCAATGTGCGAGAAACTAAAAATCCCTCACCTAGCCTTCGCCGATGACCTCATGCTACTTTCTAGAGGTGACTCGGCTCCGATTCAAATACTCATGAATTGCTTAAACGATTTTGAGGCCAAGTCGGGGCTCGAAATAAACGTGCTAAAGTCCAACACCTACTTGGCCGGCGTCAAGGAGAATAATCGAGCCACCATCCTAGACAACACTAACTTGCAAAGTGGTCCTATGCCTTTCCGTTACCTCGGGTACCCCCCACCGCGGAGCGAATCACCGGTCGACTCTTTGATGATATGGTCAACCAAATTGAGAGCCAACTTAGTAGGTGGAGTGGTCACACGCTCTCTTATGCCGGTAGATTGGAACTTATCCGCTCCGTAATCCAAGGCATTGAGTGCTTTTGGATGGGTATCTTCCATTTACCCAGTGTTGTGCGAACTAAAATCACCCAACTTTGTAGGAGGTTCTTATGGGGCTCGAAAAGTGCTCTTGTGGCATGGGATAGTTTGTGCTTACCACGATCGGAAGGTGGATTGGGTCTCCGAGACTTGGAAGCTTGGAACCAAGCGTTACTCACTCGGACGCTATGGAACATGCAAGCCAAGAAGGACACCCTTTGGTACAAATGGATCCATAACATTTATCTGAAGGGCAGATCCATTTGGGATTGACAGATTGGTACGAAAGACCCTCCTCTCTTGTCCCTCTTCAAAATCCAACAAATCCTAATTGAAAAAGCGGGAAGTGTGCGGCGAGCGGAAGCCCTCCTACGTGGTTGGAGCTCTTGAGATAAACAAGATGGGTCTAGTAAGTGCTACGACTTCCTAAGACCTCGAGGACCCGCAAGGCCATGGACCGGGGTTGTTTGGGGGCTTGCAATACCCCCAAGCACTCATTCATCCTATGGTTGGGGGTGCTTAATAGGCTACAGACAAAAGACCGTCTCGAATTCCTTGACGAAGACCCGATTTGCCCTCTATGCGGTGTCGCGAATGAATCTTTGAGCCACCTCTTCTTTGAGTGTTCCTTTAGCTCAGAGATTTGGAGTGAAACTCGTGCTTGGGTTAGCCTCCGCCATAGACCATTGACACTCAAAGGGGCCCTCAGATGGACTAAGAAGGAGGTGAGAGACGCGAGTTGGAGATCCAAGTTGAAGAAAGTCGCGTTAGCGGCCACCGTGTACTTCATTTGGAATGCAAGGAATCGGTTGATCTTTGAAAATGAATACCAACCCCCGATACTTGTGATCCGAAAGGTTAAAACGCATGTATATCGCACTATTTTCGCTCTTTACCCTAATGTGCTTGCTGAGTTTGAGAGGCGGAGCCTCGGACTTTAAGTATGCCTTGGTTTATATTTTGAGAGTTGAGGTTAATGGGTGGCCGATCACCCGGGATGATGTGTTATTGGAGAAAGTTGCAAGAATTTTTTGGGTCTCCAGGTGCTAGTGGCGCTAAGGGGGGGCCTAGCGCCGCTAACAAGGGATTTTTAGTGATGAACGACCTAGCTTCAGGTGCTAGCGGCGCTAGCAGGGGGCCTAGCGCCGCTAAGGGTCCATCTAGCGGCGCTTCGCGACTTAGCGAGAGTATAGCGGGAACATGGTAGAAGTGCTCCAGGTAGTAACGCCGCTACCCGAGTCTAGCGCCGCTAAGCACTCCCACCTAGCGCCGCTAAGGCCCTTAGCGGGCGACTGAACATGAAGCACATATTCGACTAGCGCCGCTAGTTCTTCATAGCGCCGCTACGCCCCACCTACTCTAGATTGCGTCACAACAACCTTAGCACCGCTAGCATTTTGACCGATACTATGTGATGCAAGAGCTCCCTTGGGACCATTTTTACTTATCCCTTCCCGAGACTTGTGAGTGACCAACCGACGTGTGGTTGGCCTCATATATCTTTATCTTGCGAATGAGTAACCGACTTGTGGTTACCCATTACGCTTTTGTACGCCGTAGACCGGTTGTCTGNCAACTCCTAATAGGAGAATATCACTCCTCCCAAACAAGAGACTAAAACACAGAACAAAAAACATACAAACTAAACAAAGAAACAAAGACACATAAAGACCAAAACACAAAAACTATTAATAGAAAAACACCCTCCCCACCTGCCGACCAGCACCTAGGACCTTCGCCACCCGACCGACTCCAAAGCATGAAAGAGAAGAGATTCCAACCCTCAGTCCAAAAACACACAGGTCGAGAAATTCCCCCTACGGCTAACTTGACTCGGATCGACCAACCTGAATCCTCCCATGAAAGCCCACCTCAGACAGCTCCGAGAGACCGAAACCAAACGCTCTCTCCGTCACCAAAAATCAACAACTGCAGCCCAAAAACCACCTTACCGGAAGGAAAGAAGACGGAAAGCACGAAGCCCCGACCACAGGCCAACAACCGTACGCAGTCATTAGCACAAGCCTCGCGCCCCGCCAACGAACCGATGACCACCACCCCAGCCGCCGTGGTGTCCAGGTAAGGATGGAACCAGTCGACTTCAGTGATCGCTAGCTCACTGAATGAAGTCAGCTTCTAGAGATTATTCCATGTTAATATAATTACTGCACCTGTCCAACAGCTCGTCGAAAGACCTCGTCGACCTCTTTGCTAATAAATTTATGCACGGTCCTGGTCGTAGAACTCGGGTAAGACCTCCTACCGTGATCTCCTCAGAGGCCAATGGGACCTATACATACTCCTTAGTGTAGCGAGCTACATATTTACGAAGAGTCTTTCCTTATTTTTGTTGCATGTTGATTAGTGCTAGGTAGGTCTTCTCGTGTTTTTTTGCGCTCAAGAACTGGTTGAAGAACTAGGAGTTGAACCTCTCAAAGTTGTATATCGACCTCGCGGCCAGCTAGTGGAACCAGTCCCGCGCTAACCTCTTTATCGTGGTGAGAAGCAAACAACATCGTTGTACTTTTGGAAAACTGTTATGTTTTCAAACGACCTCAAGTGCCTGGACGGATCTGTCGAACCTTCATAAGTTAAGTTCATCTCGTTAAAGTTGTTACGCAAGTCTTCCTCCAAAACCTCTACAGTGAACGGGTGACCATGGATCCTTGGTGCTACCCTGCCTTCGATTTGAGCCTGCAACTCTCGCAATTGGGCTGCCAACCGCTCAAGTGTGGGATCCTGGGCTACTCACGCTATGTGTGAAGGTGACGATGTCGACCTTGCTACAGCTTCTTCTGGCCTCCTTTGAGGATGCGGTTGTTGCCCAGCTGGATCTGGTTGGTTTGGCGCTCAAGCTCGGGCTATAGCCTCAGCCACAATTCGGCCTGACTCTGTTCTGGTGAGCTTGATAACATGGTCTCCCCTAGGCACCTCATGTGCCCTGAAATTCACTAGCTGGCCCTCTAACTACTCCTGAGGTCGATTGGCCCCCGAATCCTCCTGCTATTGCACCCCAGCACTATGAGCGGCTTCAAGCTCTTGTGTCTCTTGGACTCCAACCTCTTTTTGGATTACCATCGGCTCTTATCTTTCTATAGGTCTCTTTGATGTGTTTGACATCGGGGTTAATGTCGTGCAGGGTTCTAGCAATGTCTCATGCAGCGCAACAAGTGTGTCGATTGGTTTCGACTAGCCCGACGGAGGGCCTGATCCAAATGCTCGTAACGCCCACGCCGCATCCAACTCCTTGGATAAATTTTTATGGGGATTCTCTCCTTCCATGATCTTAAAAGTTCCTTCGTAATATTTGTAAGAAAACTTTTCAGCTTCTTATAGCCGGTAAAAGACTAGAGTGTTCCCACATACGACACTATTTTGATATGCAAATTATTTTGCACTGAGTTGAAAGCATGATCTTTATGAATTGCCACCATATCGGTGTTCTAACAGCCTGCAATGCACCGGGAGTAGTCCCAACGTAATCACTCTGACACTCAAGTTAGTTGTGCTTGAGGCTGTATATCTATTGTAAAATAGACTGATGAGTGTATGTAATATCTAAAGTAAAAGAACCTGGTTACCCTTATATACCTAGAGTAGCTTGGCCTCCAAGAGAGTTCTAGTTATAAAGAGATCCTCTTGTGTCTACTTTGTTAACTCATCACGTCTCTAGGATCCAAGGCTCCTTAGCAAGTTACACTTTCCATCCACTAAGGATTCTTTCCGCTCTTACCCTAAGGCTCTCAGGTCTCTGGGTTGTAACCAAGACCTCCCTTCCTACCTATTGTAGTTTGTAACTACTTCGCAACCACGACCTCCACCTTCGACCTACAGGTTTATGAGGTCCCATCTAGTATCCAAGCTCCTTAGGTTCTTCGACTTCTGAGTTATCCGAACTGGTTCTACCTGTACTTTGAGCTACCTAAGTGAGCTCCATGACAGGTATATGTATCAAAGACGAGTTGAGCTCCCTTGAATCAACCATGACCAAGCTACCCGCTTTAGTAGGTTCATCGAGCTATTCTGAGTGCTATATTATAGATATTGTCTGCTTCGAGCTCAACGACTCATTGTTTACGGAAGCTATCTTCACGACATCATTCTAGAGAGTTTTATTCATGAGTTGGTCACGGAGATCACCCCATCGTAAATTGTTTCTCATGCGTTTGAACATGGTGGGGAAATTATAACTAAATTCGACACCAGATTGAGCTTGATCTCCCCCACTCCTTCTTGAGTTGGGCAACCAAATTTTTGTTTGCCTTTTTGTTGGTCATATGAGGGCAATGAGAGTTTTGTGCTTGTGATATTGACATTTGAGAAGGTTTTTGAGGAGAATGTCGGGAAGAATATTCTTACACATTTGGTTGAAGAGGTCAGATATACCTTTAACCAAAGCGGGATTATTAAAGATTTGGCTGACATAATTGGGAGGCATTGTATTATCCTCATGATTGTCGTGGTTGCCGCTTGGATTCTTGGATGAATACATTGTGTCTAGAATTCGCAACTTTGTAACATTTTTAAAGTTAAGTTTCATAAAAAATCACTATGGGCCCTTCCTCTATTTATTGATGGTGATAAATTACCGACCATATTTTGTAACAATTATGAAGACTAGGAACGTACATCGATAATTATTTAGATTGGCGAAAACTTGAGATCGCAATGGAAATTATGTATTTATTGATGTGAACGTTTTGTGATTGAATATTGAATTTTTCGTGGTCCCCTTTTGCGAGGTTTTATTCATTGTATTTATAGAAACCTAAATAAAAATGTCATGATGGCACAAAACGAGTCATGCCATCTAAGGGTGCAATTTCTGGACACGTGTTGGCCAAGATCGCATGAATGCAGGCATGTGGTAGCTATGCTTTTGAGGATTGGACGTTCGCTTTTCATTAGGCAGCTTGCTTTTCCATTTGACATTCACATCGGATAGGCAGATTGACACAGACAGTCTTTCCGTAGAATGAAATTGGGATATGTAGATTGACACGAATTGTCATCGGGGCCTACAACCCACATCTGTCAGATGCCATCAAAGACCCAAAATAAAATATAAAATATTTTTTAACTAGATATCCCCTCCCCTAAATGTTGAACTAATGAGCCGAAATATTAACAATGTTGAACATCTGATCCTAATAAAAATATGTGAATAAAAAAAATGTTTAACAAGCATTAAATAAGTTGTTAGTAAATAATCTTTGAAAAATGTATACTTATTCCACTTAGAACTTCCAATATATATAGTTTTCCATCCCATGATGAGATATTAATCTGTCTTTGTTGCACCTATAACCATCTTAGAGCTATAAGTCTCATTCTCAGTTATCCTGCATTCGACCATTTTAATCTTCTTCTCCAGAAAATGAATCATATCGTGCAATTCATAAGGATCGTGCACAGTCGCCTCTTCTCTAGCCACAGACTCAGCCAAGAATAACTCCTTCTCTAGAGAATGTACTTTTTGAGTCTCTTTATCCAAGTTCTTAGATAACCTAGACAAATTCTGCCTAAGAAATCCAACTTGGTCAACCCGATGGTTTGTGTGGGAAGAAGATGGCAGAGCTAAGAATTTTTGGATTGTTGTGGATGCTTCATTTGGGGAAGGCCATGTTTCTAACTGGGTCCCCTCGCTATTGATGATAACTCCACACGCTTCAACGTCACACAGAGTTCCCAGTTCTTTCAATTTTTTCAACAAACCAATCTTTCTTTTTTTGAACGTCTCACGACGTGTGCGGTCATCCGCAACGAATTCATATTTAACCTTCGACCGAACCATGACAGAAGTCTTCAAAGGTATAAGAGAATGAAAATGATCAGGCTTCTCATACTTAGGAAAGTTTTGGCATTATCATTTGGAGTAAGAAAATATGGTCAAAATAGCGCAAGACCTAGGGAAAGGCAAGAGATGCACTCATTCTACTATTCCCAAGCACTATGGTTTTCACAAATATATTTCAAATTTTAAGAAACTTCATCACCTTCATCTTTTTAATCATGATGATATGCAATCTATGATACACTCGCTCCAACTAAAACAGAAAGTGAAAACAAAAAAGATATGATATCAATAACCACTCATTGAGGTATCCAAAACGGATGAACTGCATATTTTTCATTCCTATTTCTTTTAAAGTAAGTTTACCATAAAATAACGTGAAAGAATATTTTCTATATATTTACCACAAAAATTTGAAATATTTAAGACAATAACATAATATTAGTTGTATATAATAATTTAAAACATCATGTACATGACTGTACAAGAATAAAGTACCAGGTCGTTTATCAAATTACCATACGAGTTTTTTGCATAAAATATATGGGATAATATTTTACTATATTTGTCTCAGAGTTTCAAAATTTTATGCTAAAAAAATACTAAAAGCGCATATATAAATATTGGAAGCATCAGTAAATGACATTAAAAGCATAAACTAACGAGCTATTTGTGAAGACACTCCAATTATGCCATCTACAAAAAGAAAATATTACCAAAAAAATTAGAATTTTTTTAATAAGAAACTTATCATTGCTTCCGTTGTTTTTTAAAGCAGTTTAATCACTACATATACACTATAGCAGTTGCAATATATAAAAGTTCTCATCCTACTATAAGGAGGTTATAATTATTCATCGCATGATTTTGGTATGATTAAATGAAAAATAAATACATCATAAAATGGAATAATTACGGAATAATAGTTCATCGATATGATTGATATTCTAAAAGAATTGATTAAAATAAAATAATATAATCATCTTATATTATCACTATGTTATCAAAAAATAATTTCAATTTTTATATTAATGTATTTTCTTATTTATCTTAATGTTATTTTATATATTATAAAAAATTGCAATGTCATTTCTTAATTAATACATGAGATTATTCATGCCCATGTCTTTATTATTTAACATCTCAAAGTCAAAACTAACAACTAAAACTAAAAAATACATTTTTTTAATTATTTATTTTAGAAAATTAATTTAAAACATTTCAAAGTTTTCTTAGACAAATAAAATAATTATATAAGAAAATAAAAAAATAGAAAAAATGTTTCTGAAATATTTTAAATGTTTTGTGTTTATACATTTATATATATTTTATACTTATTATTAAATTTAATTCACTTATAACTNATTATATTAATTAGTTAATAGATCTAAATAAATATGTATGTTATTTTTTATTATATAGAATGATATAAAACTACTTATTATGAATATAAATCCACTTATTATCCTGTTGGGATCAAACACTCGGGTATTATTCCGTTGGGATCTTTTCGTAGTTTTTGTTGTAATTTTTGTTGTTGATTTGTGGTGTTGCGAGTTTATTATTCTAGCTTTGCTAGGTTAGGCTCTAGGCGATCCTTTGGATCTGCCTCCCAGTTTTATCAGTTTTTGGTTGTACTATTCAGCCTTTGCCTGTTTTTTTTCGCACTTTGTGCGGCTTATTTATATAATAATACATCTATCGTTTTGAAAAAAAAAAAATATAAATCCCATAGAGATTTTGAAATGAAATGGTCATTCATACAGTTAAATTATGCTAATCATGCGATTAAAATTAAGAAATCATAATTACTATTCTTTGTCATTCCATTATAACAATCATATCGTCAGGATTTTGTGAAACTTTGTAGATTTTAAAATTTTGGTGAATTTAATATACATAATTTAATACTTTTTAAAGTTTGGCCATATTTATTTAAGAATTTAATAAGTCTTTTAAAATGCTCGAGTTGTTCATTTGATATTTAAAAAACAAAAAAAAACTTAAAAAATCATGAGAAGTTCAGTTTATTCATCACATGAGTTTATTTGAATTGTTAAGACTTATTGAGATTAGAACAAAAAAGAAAAAAAGACTTATTGAGATTTTAAAGACAATATATACATATAATAAATTTATATTTTTAAATTTCATTAATGATTGTTGTATTTCAATAAACCCTAAAATCTGAAAATCCTGAATCAAAAAAATAAAATATTACTCAAAGTCACAAAGGAATAGACATTTTAAAAAAAAAAAAAAAATAGTTCCTATTTAACAGATTATCTATATATATTTAATGAACTGTTTTGTGAAGTCGCCCAACCTAGAACCCAGTTTAACTCGGGATAAATCGAGTCGAATTTAGTTCAGATCATCATTAGGGCTGGACCGCACTAAGAAAAGTTAAGAACCCCGCTGACCCAATTGAACTCAACCCGTTTAACCCCGATCTTTTTTTCAGTATTTTTAATTTTAAGAATAAAACTTAATTATATATTTATTTGATAATAATATATATACATAAAGATTAAACTTTAATAATTAATTATTCAATTCAATTAACTCACGACCACGGTAATTCAATGATTCATAGACCATTCGGCCGGAACTAATTGGCCGAATATGAAAACACGGATTTATATATTTATGTTAAAAATTCAGATGATTAACGACAATTAATTTAATAAATTATTAAATTAGAAAAAACGAGAAAAAAAAACATCGTGATAATAAATTCAATCGATTGAAAATCCCAGATCTGTTACAATTAGACACCATTTGTTTCCAAAACAACAGTTACTGTATATGAGTACGCCTAAATGTTACTGTGTGCGAGTGTTGTATAAAACATGAACGTCTCTACAGCGAACAATAAAAAATAAAATCAAAGCATATAAGATAACAACAACTAATGACTCGAAGAAAGGAAAGAAGAAAACACAAACGCAAAATGGAAACTCACCTGATTAGTTGAGAGAGTGTGGAAGATCAAAGATTTGGAAACTTGTGGCGAAATTGGGAAATGAGAAGTTAAGAGTACCGACTGACATTGAATTACTAAATAAATAGCGGAAATATTGCAAAAAGAAATCACAGTTTGGGCCTGGGGTATAGGATTATGGTAATCAATCACAATTACCATAATAATAATGTGGATACTGTGTGAACGTAATCAGGGCAGATTAGAACAAAAAAAAAAGACTTATTGAGATTTTAAAGACAATATATACATATAATAAATTTAATCTTTTGATACGTGAGGATGAAAATTTTCACTTTTGTCCTTGGGTGTAATATTGTTTCAAAACTTCCTAATCTGAAATTTAATTTCGTTATTTTTTATATTTTATACAAAATTGAGTAGGTCATATACTACAAACTCGATAAAGTAAATTAGATATATTTTTTAAAAAAATATTAATCTAACAGATTTGTGGAATTATGTTATGTTAATTTCAAAAAGCTCCCATTTCTATTATTTTCTATATATTAACTAGTACGTAACCCGTGCGATGCACAGGACATAAATATTAAATGAGTCATTTTTACAGAGTTTGTCTGTTAAGTAACTCGTGTGATTCACGGGAGATATTAAATGAGTAGACAATAGAGCTTGTCAGTTAAAGGCCTAAAAAAATAATAGAGTTTGATCATCTATTTTTTTACCTCTTTCATCAACGTCATCTTTTTTGTCGAGACATTAAAACCTGAGTCTGGTAGTGGTAGCGCTAGAGCGTAAATTAATTAATTGTTTATAATAATATAAATTTAATTTCATTATATATATTTATTCTTTGATATAAGAAAAATAACAATTTTACGTAGTCTTGTTCCTCGTATAATACTCATATTATTTTATTATAAAATTTATTTTAATAGCATGCTGACTCGTTTATATTATTATAAATAATATTTTAACATATATATTTATTTTTTAATACAAAATAATAATAATTTTACATATTTTGGTTCATCATAATACTCAATTATTAATCTATCAAAAATTCTATTATCATATAATGTTATTATTATTTATAACACTTGTAGAAGTAATATATTTGTTATATAACGATAAATATGTAATGTATATTAATATTATTTAGTGATGTAATTAATTTAAAAAGATATAAGCAAATTTAATGTTTGGTAGGAATGTGATTATATGTAAGTTGAGATAAAATGAAATGTATCAAAAAAATCTGCTTATGATATTTTTCAATAAATGTTTGAATTAATTTGAAATTCAAATTACAAATCAATCTCCAGTTATTCAAATAATTTTAAAAAAAAAACACCAATTGTAATAAAATGTACGTGACAATATATTATAAATATACATGACGTCAGTAATGTTATGAATCTTTAAGTTCCTAAAATATATATTGTTTAGATATGAAACTAATTAACTTATATGTTAAGATAATATATATAAATATATGTATTGTACGAAATATACACGTGACAAGTTATTATATTTGTTTATATATTGTTTGCATATTTTTTATATTATTTATTATATTTGTATATAAATATATTGTTTATATATTTGTCCGTATTGTACGACAAATTATTATATTTGTTTATATATTTTTTAAATATATATTGTTTATATATGAAACTAATTAACATATATGTTAAGATAATATATATAAATATATGTTTTGTATGAAATCTTTAACGTGTTTGTTAAATTTTTCCCCTAAAAAATTCAAAATACATTTAGGCATGTTTTGTTTGAAGTTTGAAATTCAAATATGCATCTATATAACAAATCTCATAATGTGTGGTAGCATTAAATGCTACTTGATTTTTTATTTAAAAAAAATTAAAAAAACATACCAAAAATGGAATGCAATTAATATTCCCTATTTTTTTGCTTACTATTTTTGAAAAATGTTAATTCTTATTATATATATATAGATTCAAAACGTGCTGAGCCTAAGTGGCAGATTCGCACACTTGGAATCATACGTGTCAAAATATCTTGTTTTATATTTAGGTTCGGATAAAAATTTTGGAAACATAATTGGCTTTGATTCAACCATAAATAATTATTTAATTCTTTTTAGGAATTATAAATTAATTCTATTCCATAATTTAGATTCTCTAAGGAGAGGAATATTCCTTCTATAATATTACCTAAGGTTAGGAGATTATGGAGTCTTTTATAAGGTAATTAGGGTTAGGAGGAATATGACTCCTAGATAGGAAATGATATAAAACATAATTAGGATTCCTAACCCTAATGAGATAAACTCATATTTAGCATCTCCTTAAGATCTTTAATGTAGCCTAAAAATACACATCATGTCCCAACCTCTTCCCCTACACATGTGAGACACGATTTTAAGATCTTCCCAAGAGAGGAAGATCGAGCATCATAATATATTCGATAGTTCAGGAGTTTCGATTAATCCCAGCACCAAGATTATTCGAAATAGGTGTTTAGGTAATACATTAGAAGGCTTTAAGGTACAATTTATTTGAGCCTTTTAATCGTACAAGAACCTGGCCACCTACGACCGCTGTCCGCTGCCAAAAATCGCCGCCGCTGTAATCGCACGCCCGTGTCCCTTCGGTAGCGCCCAGTCCGCATCGACATAGGAGAGCCGCATCTCACGTGCCCGACGACTTCGCCAGCCGCCTACGCACCCCAGCGCGCGTGTTAGCCAGCACCTGCAGCCGACCGACGTTGCCCAGCCAGCGCCCAAGGCGCCCTGACTGCTACACCAGACCAGCAGGCACCGCACGTGACCTGTAGCCACTCGACCGAGGCCAGTCACGACCCGACCGATCCCATCCCAGTTCGACCGACCCCAGCCCAACAAGCCCTTAACCCGGTGAACCGCTCGTGACCCGACGACCAGATTTCAATCAAGGAGACCTAGTCTGGCTGCCAACAGACTCTGCGGTTCAGACGATCTCCTACAGAGAAAATCAGAAACGTCTCAAAGTCGGCAAAAATTTTAAATGGTTATGTTCTAACCCTAACTATAGATTTCGCTGCGTTAGGATTTATTTCGATAAATTTGAATGTACACATCGTTGACGTTCCTAATAGAACCCAATAATTTTCAGGTCCGATCAACCTAGTACGTTATCTCATATCACCTGGTCCCCTCCACTCTGATCGAGTATAGATGTTTAGATCTAAGAGTGAAATTCACTGCCCCTGATTTTGGTAAGTTGGCTTTTTTCACACCGTTTCAACCTCATTCCCTGCTTTTCTGTCGTTTCTGTGAATTTGTTCAGTCTTTTGCCTAGTTTTTCCTTTCACCATTTTAATTTTAAATGCCTTTCACGTGCTTTCATGCGTGCAGTCCAACCATCTTGTCACCACGTGTCCAACCCAGTTCAAACGTCTTGTCTCCTGGTGCTTTGCAGTCTGTGTTGTCCTCTTGCAGTGCACTCTATAAATGCGAATCTTTAATCCTACGGTCGTGCTCGAGTTGTCCCTTCACCTGCTACTTTTGATCTGAACCAATGGATCCGTCACCAATCCAACGGTTAGGGTCTATCGACCCCTTAATGTTCAGTCTTCTGCCTCCTATAAAACGAATCTTTGGCTGACTTCCTTAGGTTTTCCACTTCTGCAACAATCTCCCAAATATACAACTCCAATTTTCTTTATGCTCTAGGAAGATCAACACTTGAAATTTTTGCCATCTGCTTCACCATCTACCACCGGAGTCTGCACTTACCCAATCAAGTCTAAAACCAAGATCAATAAGTTGTTTCTTCCTTTTTGTTTTTATTGGTTTTTGCATGTCTAGTTTTTCTTTCGATTCTCCTCTCTATTCTCTATTTCGAACACTTCATCTCTCCTCCTTTCTCTGCCACTTTCTTCCACTTCTTAAATATTCCTCTTTTTTTGTTTTCTTTTTCTAATTTTCAGATTTTGCCACATCCACTGAGGTTGATTGATATTCGGAAAACAATATGAATACTCCATCGTCTTCCTCGACCTCTACCCCTCTATTTTCTCCTTCGGTCTCTCCTTCTGTGGAGGTCAATATCATTCCCTCCATTTCGTACTACCCACAAATTTTTATCCCAATCCGAGATCATTTGTCTGCTCAATGTTTCATTCAAAATAATATAGACACATTTTATTGTTCTCTATCTACGGGTCATTCTTGTGCTATCGTGCATAAGTTTTAGGCAAGTGGCTCCTTGTTGGATTTGTCTCATCAAAATAATCATACATACAAACTTATAGCTAAATTCTAGTGCGTATTCCGTGCGATGCACGGGAAAACAATATTGCGATTGTATGATAAACTAACTATATAAATAACATTAATCATGATTTACCCATTGTTTTTAAATTAAACTGGGTTGGACAGTTTGACTGGATGGACCGGGAACTGGTTTATACCAGTCTAGTTTGCTTAAATAAAATGTTTGCTATCAAGCCCGTCAACACGCCAGTCGGACTGACAAGATCGATACAATTTCCTAAATAAATTTGTTACATTTAAAAAAATATTTTAAATAAAAATACATATTTAAATAAAATGAAGATCTATAAATTGTTTATTAATTAGTTTAAACAGTTGAATTTTTAAATTGTTTAGATATTTAAGTAACACTTTTTATTTAAATTTATACAAAAAGTACTATATATATATATATATGAAAATATTTATAATTAAAATTTGTACACACCACAAATCACTGAATAAATTAACTTGATCGTTTCGATGACGGTCCGGCCCTGAGAACCTCGTATTTGCCATACATTAATAAAAATTATAATAAAATATTTTTTTTTCACAAAAATATTACTAAAACTATATATAAATATTCATAAATCATTAAACATGTTGTCACAAAAGTATTATTAATCTGATTAGTTGGAGTTTGGACTATATCACATTCACGTAATAAAGTATTCTTAAGTTAACTTTTGTGGTCCTTATCACGTTGGTTAGGTATGTTCACAAAATCGGATTTTTTAGATGCTGGTCATGGATCCAATGGAAGTTTATTGAAATGCACATGTACAATTGAGATTTGTTCCGATTTTCACTGCAATTTCTATTTACTCGAATTTGTGTACAATTGGGATACTAGTTTTAAATATTAATCATGTTTTAATTTTGATTTGGTTTTATTTCATATAATGTATATCTTATCATTCTGTTAAAAAATTGATTCACAATTGCACGCCTCACATTCAACAAAATATGTTATTTATTTTAAATACATATTAATAATGGTTTATCGTAAATAATACTTTTTTAATTCTGATTGTATCTTGCAATTTAAAATGATACTTTGACAAATACATGCTTAGATTTACCAAATTCTGTAATTAAATGCACCGCGAAAGTTACCAAATGCAAACCAATACCGTGTAAGATTAAAAAAAAAATGGATTGTATGATACGGAAACTGAGATTTTTATAAGATAAAAATAATAATATCTGGAAATCAATATTTTCAAAATTATGTTAGAATTAATTCTTTTTAATTAGGGAATATCACAATACAATAAATTATAATACACTTTAACTTAAAGGGTCCAAAAAAATATGGAATCCTTTATATAAGGAAGTATTAGATGCTTGCCGATTTTAAAATTTGAATTGCCAATTTTTAGGACTTAGAAATTTGAATGGTTGATTTTGAAATTTGATTTTAAAAAACACACGAAATCAGGTAGCATTTCATGTTGCCTGATTTATATAATAAATAAAAAACAAATTTTAATAAAACTTTTCGAGAAATGAATGCAATTAATATTCTCAGATTTTTTTGGTTGCTATTTTTCGTAAATGGTTATTCGTATTATATATATATGTTATATTTCGTTTATCCACTCAATTTTTTGTCTAAAATAATTTGAATTTTTCTATTTTTTGCCTAATTTTAAATCCATCCGACGCCCGTTTCAAGTGTGTGACATACCGTTGGATTCTTTTCGCCGAGACATAAATACACACAAAATTTCAACTCAATTAAAACTCGTTTTCTCACTAAATTTTACATTCAAAATAATACGTACAAACTTAATTTTTGGCCCATAACTGGCCAACATCGATACCTTGATAAATTCAAATAATCCGGTCTTTATCCAGCCCATCGTGATTAATATTTTTTTTTATGTTTTTAAGAAATGATGTACTAAAGTTTATGTTGGCAATATAGCATCTCTTTTTTAAAGAGATAATACCAATATAAATAGATTAAAAATAAAAAATCGGTAATCAATGTAAGTACATCCAAAGCAAGATTTTCCACAACTCAATTTCAGTCAAAATTAATGATGTATAGCCTTTGCAAGATACTCCAAATCCCACAATCAAACAAACCGTCCCGCACCCATTAATCAAGCTTACACCTACAGCCAAATTGTTACTTCTTTCTAATTCTCACTCTAAGAATGGCTTCTAAACCCCTCTCTCCCCTTCAGGTTTTCGCTTTAATGCTCACATTCTCTACCGCCTTTTCCAAAATAATCCGAAATCCAAATCTTGACCAAAAATCACTACGAGTCGGCGGCGCACGGCCAATAAGTGACCCGCGCAACCCGAAAGTGATTAAGGCTGCTGTTTTTGCGGTGGTCGAACACAATAGGTTGGCCAAAACTAATTTGATTTTTCAAAGCGTAATTAATGGCACGGTTCAGGATGTTGGGGGCCAATTGTATCGGCTCGTGATATCTGCCTTTGACGGCAGTGACGGTCCCGAGAATTATCTTGCTCGTGTTTATGACAAGCCGTGGCAACATTTGAAGATCCTTATTAGCTTCGAAAAAATCAGAAAAATATCCCGAGTTAATTTTTAGGTGTAACTGTGTGATTTTGTTTTTCTCTTTCTTTAATTAATATTAGTTACATTGTTATGCGATTTCGATTTGTTTTTTTTTTTATTATTATTATTATTATTATTTGTTTTCAAGTGATGATGCTTTGATGAAAAATTGAATTGAGGAATTAATGTTTGTTTGTATTGTGTAAATGAAAAACTAGCCTTGAACAAAACTATGAACATATATATTTATGAACGCTATCAAATTCGTGGAGTTAAATGGACCTAGTTCGAGTACAAACTGAAAAACTTCTAATTAACAAGTTGAGATATTAGAATATAACAAAATGTTAAGAACAAAGCACGCCAGTCTCAGTTTTGTAGCCTTCCTTAGTATGGATTTGAAGGGAATACTTGAACTAATTCCATTTTCCAATTTTCAAAACTTCACGTCAAGAAGAAAAATCACATGTATGGGAATTTCTTTTATTGATAAGCTTACTTGTAACAATAAAGGTATGAAAAATATAAAATAATTGCACAAGTTAAATGTATTTCGATTGAATGATATGTTGTAGATTCAATATCTATATGTCTCTTCTGATTCTTCTCTTATTAAACTTGGATTTGGATCTTTGAAATTGGATATTACAATTGGATCTTCTTCATTTTTATGCTTGAATTTGACTAACGTTAATTTGAGATTCGAATGACTTGATCTGGAATTAAGCAGTTTGGAGTTGATTTGATTGGAGATGACTTCTTAGAAGACTGATTCTTCAATCATCCTAGAAGGTGGACTTTTTTTACTTGAATAACGTTGACTCGAGTACTTGATAGTTTTTTCCTGATCATACGTTGTATTGGTTGAACTTCTCGACGAACGTTGATTGAATATCACTTGAACATTGTTGATGTTCTTGGACTAAATTGAGAGGAGTGTATGTTGCCTCTTTATTTCATGGAGAAGAACCACCACCTTCTCTTCTATTTTTGGCATTCCTTTCCATTGAACATATTCTCCTCCATTAAACATACTTTGGCAGCTCAGAGGCTAGATTTTGGATTGATCACCGCCCTTCGACTTGAATGCCATTGAATCTTCAAGAACACCATCAAAACTTCAAGAACGCCTTTGGATCATTAAAAAAGTTCTTGAGAGCTTCTGAACTTGAGACTTGAATTATGAGGTCTCGAACTTAGATTTGTAGATAGTTTCAGCTTATATCAACATGTATTGAATTGCTTTGACAAATGGTTTATACTTGTATCAAGAAATATTGATTTGATTTGACTGAAGACAATTTATACTCATGTCAAAAAGAGTTCTTCATTTGATTTATGGACTTTTTTATACTCGTGTCAAAGAGCTTTTAAATTCGTAAATATTTTATTCTCATGTCAAGAAACCGTCAAATATGTAGACATATTATGCTCGTATCAAGGAGCCTTATGACTTATAGACATTTAATTCTCTCGTCAACAAGAATTTGTTTTATAGACATTTTATGCTCGTGTGAAATAGTCTTCATATTTGACTTGCATACCATTTAGTCTCGTGTCATGGAGACCTTAATTTTGTAGACATTTATACTCGTGTCAAGGAGCTTTCATTTCTAACTTGTAAACCTTTTTATTTTTCGTATCAAAGAGATCTTCATTTGACTTGTGGACATTTTAATCTCGTGTCTAAAAGACTTGTAGACATTTTACTCTCATGTCAAATAAGATCTTCATTTGCCTTTTGTACATTTTAATCTCGTGCTTGTGAGATCTTGACTTTGTAAACATTTTATGTTAGTGTCGTTGAATTTGTAGATAGTTTAGACTTGTATCAAGAAAAATGATGTTTCGAATTTGGATAGTTTTTTTTATATCGAGGAGCTTTATAAATAGTTTAAACTCTAATCAAGGAACAGTATTGGAGATACTTTAGGCTAGTATCAAGGAGCATTGTAGATATTTTAAACTCATATCAATTATCATAAATATTTGAGATTTTAGATAATTTAGACTCATATCAAAGGGGCACTGTAAATATTGTAGGCTTGTATTAAGTAGCATTATAGTTTAAAGTTATATCAAGGAATATAAAGAATTGAGAATTAATTTGGATTGTTTTTTGTGATGAGTATTTAAAAATATATGACAACAACAACAATAACATAGTCTTTTAGTCCCAAGGTTTAAAAATATATGAGTAAATGAATAATTAATTAACAAAATTAATTTTATTGATTTAATGTGTGAGGATGATTGAAATATATTATTTAATTATATTGACAAAAAAAACAAAAAAAATGAGTTGGATCAAATTAAAATAGAGTTTGAATAAAAAAGAGATAAAAAAAATTATCCGATCAGTTAAAACTAGATAAAATCTATTTGGTCCTCATTGACTTTTCGACCCGTTGTTAATGTCTAGAGGTATCGTCTCTGTGGAAACCCAACACATACAATCCGCATAATATCAATCTTCCATTAAGTGCTTACTACATCGTTCCATATGGTGGAAGTCCATATGATAGTAATTTATTTGTTTTTTTTTTTTAGTTATTTTCCTCTTATACTTTTATTTATTTCTATTACTCTATTCACACAGGAAATGCGTATATTGTGGGCCACACAATAATCTATACTTATATTAAAAGATATACCATTTATCAAATTTAGTATAAAGAAAAGTCAACAACATTTATTGCATTACTATTTCAGTATTATACAATCTATACTTATATAAAAGGAGATTCTATTTACTATATTTACTATCCAGAAAAGTCAACTGCATTAAATGCCATTACTATTTTGGTATTATAATATTTTATTTATTTAATTGATTTATTTATTTGTTTTATTTTAAAAAAATAAGTATAATAAAAAGATTTTAATAAAAAATAAATAAAATACCAAATAAAAATGTACATTTTGACTTATTTGATTATTATACCAAATATATTCTTATTTAGTATATACATTGAATACTTACTAAAGTACTTATTTGTTTTATTTGTCAAAGTTAAGTATAGATTTGCTTATATTATCAAATCATAAAAAAAATATTAAATCCATATTGTAAAAAAAAATCATATAATTTTATAACAATTCTACTACACTTATGATGTAGGGAAGCGTACGAATAGGAAAGATAAACGAGATACTCTCTCGTAAAACACACAAAACTCACAATATATGATTCAATCTCAAAATTCACCAAATAACAATGAAGCAGGAGAGTCCTTTATATAAGACTCTCAAAACTAATAACCCTAACTTGTTCTCTAAGGTAACTACTAATTATTAAATAATAATAATAATAGTAATTATTATTATTATTATTATTATTCTACACCATTCTCCCCCGGTTCGGAAGGCTTCGCCCTCGAAGCCGACGCGCTCCCGTGGCTGGTGTGGAGGCGAACCCATGGTAATAATCCCTGTCGTTTTCCCCTGTCGAACACGAAGGTTGAATGTTGCACCTCCATGGTATCACCCCCTTGAAATTCATAGAAAGACATATATGCAGCAGCCACACACAGAATTTTGAAGTCACCGTGGTGACCAAAAAACAACATCTGTTTACAAGGCCGCAACAAATTCCCGTGAGAGAAAAGCTCGAGCCTGTGCAACAGAAGAACTACCAATTCTTCTAACAACTGAATTTCGATACTCGAAACATGATGGAATTCCTCCGGCTCCGGAGGCTCCTCATCGAAAATCGGCAGACCATCGTAGAGACAGTCCACTTCGCCAGTAAAATGCTCCTCCACCTCCTCGGGTCCTTCATCAAACATCGGCGGACCATCGTACAATGGCCCGTCAACTTGCTCTTCGTCAAATTCGGGGATGTCAACGCGAAACGGGCCCTCCCATCGACCATATTCTCGATCACATTTCCAATCGCGTCGGGAACGATCTCCGCCGGCGGCGGCAGCCTCCTCGAGCATGCCCAAACGCCCCGCTTGGACCACGGCCTCCACGTCCTCCGCAAATTCCCCCGCACACGCGCCGGTTGCCGGCGTCACGGTACGTTTGCTTGTCCCGATCCATGGTACAGATAGTTAGACGTATGTCCCCGATCTCCGCAGACAGATCTGCAATCTGACGACCCATCATCTCGAGCTTGCGGCCAAACCACTCGGTCCGGCGGCTCAAGTTGTAGATGGCGGCGACACGCCTGTCGTTTGCAGCATCTTGTCTTCGCGACAGCATCGTGAATCGTTTTGACTTTTGATACCAACTGATGTAGGGAAGCGTACGAATAGGAAGGATAAACGGAATACTCTCTCGTAAAACACACAATACTCACAATATATGATTCAATCTCAAAATTCACCAAATAACAATGAAGCAGGAGAGTCCTTTATATAAGACTCTCAAAACTAATGACCCTAACTTGTTCTCTAAGGTAACTACTAATTATTAGATAATAATAATAATAATAATAATAATAATTATTATTATTATTATTATTGAATATTATAAAACTTTTATTGAACATTGTACAATTTTCTTGCGTATTATAAACTTTTATTGAATATTGCATCTTATAATATAATATTCTCCAAATAAATATATCTCGTGCTTTGCACGGATCACGTACTATATATATCCCGTACATTTTTCTATATTCATGTATATAATTATAAGCCTGGATAAATAGCTTTAAAATTGTACACCCCGTGCATCGCATGGGCTCTGTACTAGTTTTGATAAATGAAATAACGATTTATAATCCTAAAACTAATTAGACAGGTTCCGGATATCGAATTTTAGTGATCTCCGAACTGAATCGTCTTGATTTTTTAGTATGATTTTGGATATCAAATTTTTGTGATTTTCGAATTTCGATACGATTACGGAGATTTCTCATATTTTTCAATCTCCAAACTTTATCGACCCATGCTCACTTCTAGTATTACTTAACCAGAAAAATAACAATTCGTTGTCAAAAGTTATACCGCCTCATACACCAAAAAAAAAAATGTTATGAGTATTTCATAATTCTTGTTTGTTTTTTGGCCTAACAATATCTCTAACAAATTGACCAAAATTCTCACCACCTTAAATATCTCCATAGCGAAAATCAATTACCAATTAACCACAAAATTCAAAATATAGAGGGACTATTGAATATAGTATGAATAGTAAAAAAATCAATCAAAACTCAAATTTAATTCAACTTTAACTCAACTCCACTATTGTATTTACAATAGTATCAATATAATTAAATAATATCAACTAATCATTCTTATACATCACATTAATTTTAATTCATTATTCATCCACTCACATAATTTTAACTAATCTCACTTCCAATCATTTTTCTCATACTTTACATTAAATCAACTTTAATTATTTTATTTAAATATTATTTTAATATATCCAATAACAATTAACCATACTATTTTTTTTTTAAATTAACTATAATTAATAAACAAATCAAATAAAAACTAGTTGAATCCATAAATATTTACTCATGCAAAGTTAGACAGTATTCTTTTTCCTTTTTCAATTTACAAAATCCATAATTAATAATCCCTGCCAAATAAAAAAGAAAAAAACACACGTCAATCTACTCACCGCATAGCCCCACCCACTTTGCCAACCCACCATAAATTGAAACCAACCCCTTCTCACATTTTCCCACACACACCCCTCGCTCGAAAAAAACAAAAACAAAAAAAAAAAGAAAAAGAAAAAGAAAAATGGCCCTTAAATCCATCCCTTTAATCATCGCAATCCTCTCGTTTCTGTTCGTGTCGGCCGCCGAGGTAGCCTCCGGCAGAGGTAGCCTCGTCGGCGGCTGGCAGCAGATCAAGGATTTGAAGGACCCGGAGGTGGTGAAGATGGCCAAGTTCGCGGTGGAGCAGCACAACAAGGAAGCGAGTACCAATCTGAGTTTCGTGGACGTCGTGAACGGATATTCTCAGGTGGTCTCGGGCATCAAGTACCGGCTGGTTCTCTCCGCCGTCGACGGCGGCGCCGGCGCCGGCGATCCTGGGAATTACACCGCGGTGGTGTGGAGCAAACCCTGGCAAAACTCCGCGAAGCTCCTTTCGTTCGAATGATGGATTTAGTTTGTTTTTAAGTCTGTAATCAGAATTTGTAATTGGGTATGAGACAATAAATATCTGGGATTTGCAGCAACTGTTAATTTTTGGATAAGTTTTGGTTCTGAGGAAGTTTATTTTGTCTTTGTTTTGTGGTTTTAACTTTTATCCAACTTTCATCTCGATCCTATCTTGTTTTATCTTATATAAAAAAAATGAATAATTGTTATAATAGTTATATTTTTAATATATTATCAAACTGTTACGAAGCATTATTCGATGGAGGAATCAACTATAAACAAAAAACAATTTAAATATAAAATACATAAATGAAACTTTTAGGAATCAACTATAAACAAAAAACAACTTAAATATAAAATACATAAATGAAACTTTTTGGGAAAGGTAAATATAAAACTAATAACTTCATGTGAGATAATCAACTATGCACAAAAACATAACCTGCTTGTCTAGTATAAAATTTAAAAATGTAAAAAGAAATTAAAGTAGACTGAAAAATAATTTTAAATAAAAAAATGAGAAATATTAAAATTTGTACAACTAAAATTGAAAAATAATTGTCACATTGTGACCAACCTGCTGTACGCAGGACGCCCATAAGATAAGGCCCATGAGGCCCATAGTGAAGAAGTACGGCCAAGCTGGCCAGGACGCCCAAAGATAAGGCCCACAGTGAACATAATGCAGCCAGACTGTTCATGCACTATCACAAATTTTGGCCCACAAACCCAGCAAATTAGACGTTGTCAACTAAAACGAAATTTGCACCGTGTACTGTAAATATAATTCTTTATTACATAAATGAAACCCAATCATAAATAACAGCAATTCAACAATATGAGCCTTTTTTATTTGCAAAACCACCATATGCCAATAAAATCATTAATTTACATATGTAATCAATTTTTAGAGTAATTAATAGAAAATTTATTAACTTTCAAAATCTAATCACGTGACTTTCTCTCTCTCTCCCCTCCCCCTCCTCCTCTTCTTCTTCTTCTGCAACTTTACGCTTAAATTTTTATCTTCTACTACAGTTAAAATTTTTATCTGTTGTTTTTTTTATCAGTCAAATACGGGCGACCCACGTTTGGATGAGCGCGGGATCGGCGGATCGCTTGATTGGCATACCCACTGGGAGTAAGGCGACCTTAATTCCCGATTGGCGACCACCAAACCGAGGAGGCGTGCTTGTTCTCCAACGGTCGGAGATAGCGGTTCGCCGGCGCTAACTCTCCAGTTAAGCTTGGGGAAGGCGGCACCAAACCGGCGCTACGGATTTTTTTACTTTAACTTTTTAATTGGGACTTTTTAGTTTAACCTAATTTTTCAACATTTTAGCATATTTCAGTCCAGCACGTTAAACATGACCTATTATGAAAGCAAATATCTGGACACATGAATATTGTCATATTGGTTAAGAGACGACTTCATAGTCCAGGTCTGTTGTCCCCGCTTGTCGGCTCCCAAATGCCGTTTCGAGAAATTCGAATGTATATTTTATGTATATGCGTGTCCTGATCTGTCACTGGATTAAACCACGAGAGTGTATATTTTATGTATCTTTTGAGATATTGTTGATTCACTTTATTTAAATTATTTCATATGTGGAATACATCAATTACTTGTTGATTTTCAAATTGATGATACTTGGATGTAGGAAATATACTTAATCTCATTTAGTCATATAATTATTTAATGAAATCACATGTAAATCTTCACAACATGTCATGTAATAAGTTCATTCATCTCAGAGTAGTAATTACAATAAAAAATGTATTATTTTTTCTAAATAGAATTCAAGTAGACGAGAAAAATTTATTTTCTATTTTTTAAATAAAGAATTTAACAAGTCAATTGAAGAAATATATTTATGAGTTTATGATAAATATGGGCAATCTCCATATAAAATAAGGCTAGAAAGTATATTAAATGATACGTTATTTTATAAAACAATATATCACATTTTTAAAAATCTATTTCCATTCGTTTCACTACGTGATTCATGTAATTTATACTAAATACTTAATAAAAAATATTTTTATGCTCTAGTTTTTTTTAATGTGTAGCATTAGTGGCATTCTTCGAGTCAAATTGAGTTGAATAAGATGTATTTGACCTCGTATTTATTTAATAGATAAGAATATTTGACTCGACTCATCTGATAATTTATAAATTAAAAGTTGAGTTGTGTTCACTTAATAGCTCAGTTCGAATAAAAACTTCACTTGAGAAAAATGTATGCCAGGTAGAAAAATGTATTCACTAAAGCAAATCACTCATTGACTCATCATATAAATAATATCTAATTGAAACATTTAAATATTATAATTCTTTTATATATATTCAAAGGAATTAACAACTAACTATTTTTTGGATATCTATTGAAAAGGGAAAAAAAATAAAATTGAAGGGTTGGAATTTGTATCTAATTTCCCCATTTAATATAGGAAATCAAAAAGATTTTTGTAACTTTATGCTTTGAAATAAAATGGGTGGTTGGAATTTATATCAACTTTCCTTGGATATACTTAAATAGATAAGTTTAAATTTATAAAATGTAATAACAGATCAGGTGAGTCACGATTAACATGATCAACTGATACAATTCAAAAACACCTTCCACTACTTTACCAGACATTTGACTCCTATATTTCTGGTTAAACAGTAATCCCGAAAGTCTAGTTTAAATCCAATCGGATAATCCGAAACCCCAAGTGCAAAGGTTGATACAAATCGAAACTGACGTCAAAAGCGCGCAATTGTCGAAGGAATTCCCGGGATTGTGCAAGTACCGAAAATAGGAGGCTGTTTGTCAAGTGGCGGTGGCGGCAGCAGCCGCGGCCGCGGGGCTCCGCCACCGGTGCGTCGTCCATCGGCGCAGCCGTCTCTGGTTCGGAAGCTTTCGGTGGCCGAACACAGCGATGGCGGCGCAGAGAACGCCAAAATGAAGGTCTTGTTCAAGGCGAAGCCGAAGACTCCTGCTGATTTGGTGCGGCAGACTCGCGATCTGCTCATCCTCGCAGACGGCGGTGTGCTCGACACTAAGGAGAGCAAGCGAGACGACAAGGTTGTTTTTCTAACGTTAATTGCTGCTTTTCAGCAGTTTAATGGTATTCTGTTGCTGAAAATTGTGGTGGAATTAGAATAATGGATTGAGAAAACAGAACTCCTGTGTGGTGTGTACTATGGTTCCCGCAATTTTTTATTTTTTATTTTATTTATATTTCATATGTATCTGGGCCTCTTTGTAATTGACAGTTGTGCTATTACATGGTATTAATATGGAGTATGGTGGTTATCACCACAATCTTCTGATTCTTATGGTGTCTGATTTTAGCAATAATATTATGTAGATGATGGAGTTGGGGAAGCTTATCCGAGAATTAAAACAAGTTCTTTATGGGGATAGTGAATCTGAGCCCGTGCCCGAAGCCTGCACGCAGTTGACACAGGAGTTTTTCAGAGAGAACACTCTTCGTCTGCTAATTATATGCCTTCCCAAGTTGAACTTAGAGGTAACTTTAGGATATTTCATGAACTTGATCCGTAGAAGTTTTAAGAATTCTTCTTCTTGGGCATATTCAGATTTACTTTTGAATTGAAGGGAATTGTGATGGTAAGAATAAATATTATGAATATTGTGAACTTATTGGTGTGACAGCTAGTTCTTTATATGAGAATGAAGAAATAATCTTGTTGACTAATAAGACGAGTGTTTGCAGACACGAAAAGATGCTACGCAGGTTGTTGCAAATCTGCAGAGGCAACAGGTTCAATCTAGGTTGATTGCTTGTGATTACTTGGAAAAGAACATGGACCTCATGGATATCTTGATATCTGGGTAAGGTAGCATGGAAGTCTTTGCATGAAGTTTAAATATAATGACTCATTAAGGAGGCAGAAATCTAAATTGGCACACAAATATCAAGTTATTCTTATTACAAGAGTTATGTATAAGTGTAGATATATAGCATCTGAAAGGTGAAATTGAGATTTGTTGGTATGAAAAATAATTTTACTGTTGTTGTAACTCTATGTCTCATCATGAAAGTTTTCAGTAGGTTTTAAGGTTTAAAGACTTCCGTCAGTCTAGATGATGACGGAGATAGGCTTAGTATGTTTTATCAATTGTCTTGTAGTTTGTAGAGTTATGGTCCATCAAATGGATGGGATTACTTTTTTGTGTGGATGTTATTATCTATTTCTTGAATTTCGATTGTTTTTTACTGTTACGTCTTGCTGAGGCTGGAAAGGTTGATGCTTTCTTGCTTTTCTGCATTCTTCTATGTTTTTCTGTTCTTTTTATTTTAAAAAGATGTTTTCTTTCAGAATATACTGACTTTAATTTTTCATTGCTGTTGGGATGTAGTTATGAGAATAACGAACTGGCATTACATTATGGTGCAATGTTGAGGGAATGCATACGCCACCAAAGTGTTGCAAGGTGAGCCAATAGTGAAAGGTTTCATGCTTCTTTAGATTTTTGTTGTTATCATAATTTGCAATAGAGATTCATATATGCATAGATCATTTTCCCCGTGTATGAAAACTAGATAATTTATGATGAGAAATCAGGGGACAGGAAATTTAATAGTGTTTGCCTTTGTCCTCCCTCCTACAGTAAGAATTAACTAATGTAGGTGTGTCATTGGTTGTAAATTACTGATATGAAGCATTGCCTCCTTATGCTGATAGATATGTCATGGCTGATATGTATGAAATTTTTATCTCTGTNTATGTACTGGAATCACAGCATATGAAGAAATTTTTCGATTATATACAACTTCCAAATTTTGACATTGCATCAGATGCAGCTGCCACATTCAAGGTTGTGTATTTTTCCCCCTTAGTCCTTTTTATTTTGCACTTTGTTGCTTGATCTTCATTTTGCTTCATTATCTGTGCTTTATAGTAGAAGAGTCTTTCTTTTGTTGTTGTTATTCGCGTTCTTGCTGGATCGCGAGTGTCTCCGCATTCAACCACTAACAGGATTCATGATTTTTTTATCCAGGAACTGTTGACCAGGCATAAGTCAACGGTAGCAGAATTTCTTTCCAAAAACTATGACTGGGTAAGAATTTTTCGCTGAGATGCCCTGCTAAACATCATGTTCTCGTCTATGCACTTTATCTTTAATAATAATTCCTGGTTATTACTAATCTTATTCCTGGCTTCCTCAACGAGCCATTTCTCGCCCTTTCTCTCACTGTGTTTCTAATTTACTTGTTACCTTTTTGTTGATAGTTCTTTGCAGATTATAACTCGAAGTTGCTGGAATCTGCTAATTACATCACCAGAAGGCAGGCTGTCAAGGTAACCCTTTTCCCGTTATCTCTATACATGAGGAACGCTTGATGCTGGACGATGCCCTATATAATATGATATATGAGAATTACAAGCAAAAATCCAAGTGGTTGAGATTTTTACTAACGGAAAAATTTCAGAATTCGTTATTTTGTTGTACTATCTTTCTACATTGTTTTCCATCTGTGCTGTGGACTATGTCTTCTGATTTTGTTATGTACCTCTTTTAGTTATTGGGAGACATCTTGCTCGACCGTTCAAATTCGGCTGTGATGACTCGATATGTTTGCTCAAGGGAAAACTTGAGGATCCTCATGAATCTTCTTCGGGTATGATTACCTTAAGAGGATTTAAGATTCAACCCCATTTCCTTGTTGCCTTTTGTGTGATGCACAGGAGTTTGATTATGAGAAGAATTAAGCTTGACGAAGGAATATTGTCTTGACATTGTTTAGAAAACTGTATTAAACAATAATTGAAAACTAAGATGAAAATGTGCGTTTCTTCATATATCTAATTCATTTGCCATGTTCTCTATCCCGGTTAAAATAATAGAAAATTAAGATGAAACTTTTTCTTGCGCCAGGAATCGAGCAAGAGTATTCAGATTGAAGCATTTCATGTTTTTAAGGTACGACTGTAGTTCCCAAAATCGAGCATCCATTTGAAACATTTTACGCACTTTGTACTCTGCTCTGAGCCTCTACCTAACTATATATATGCAGCTATTTGCGGCCTATCAGAACAAACCCCCAGATATCGTTAGTATTCTCATTGCTAACCGAAACAAGCTATTACGCCTCTTTGCTGATTTTAAAACCGAGAAAGGTGCGTGAGGAATATTCAGTATTCACGACATATCTCATATTTACTTAATCACGAGTTTGGGTTCCGTTTGGTACAGAGGATGAACAGTTTGAGGCTGATAAAGCGCAAGTAGTTAAAGAAATCGCGGCACTTGAGCCTAAAGAACGTGCATGAATCAAAGCTTTGATTTGGTTCATCGGCTCCGATGTAAAATCCTGTACCATTAAATCCTGGTTGTTATATTTATTTCCTTTTTTTTTTTTTTTATCTATTTCATGTAATTGTTGATGTTAAGGCTCGAAATGGTGAAAATTCCGACGAGAGAGAGCTTTGGAAAAGTGCTGGCCTCCATTTCATTGTTAAAAGATAACAATTCTGCACATGCGGGGAATAAAACATTCAAAATTGTTTTTTAACAAGAAATAAGAGAAATTTTTTACGTTTGTAGTGATGCATGAATTGCTACAGCAGGGGCGACCTTTCTTATGTTGCCGTATTTCATGTAAAATTTGTTGGAATGATTACGATCTGTGAAAATTAATTTCTCTAGCTATATCAATATAGATAATAATATTAAAGCCTTTGAAGTATAAAATTTACATAAAAATAATTTATTTATGTTATTGCAAAATATACATTTAACATTTACAATAAAAATAGTGCACATATTTATGTAGTAAATATTCAGAATTAAAAACAACACTATGCAGACTTTGTGACATAAATTTAACTTATAAATTATTTATTTTTTCCTTATATTTTGATACCATAAAATTATAATATATATAATTTTAGAAATTAATTGTTCAATTTTGTAATTGAATCGGCCATCTGATCATAGAACCCGCTTGAATACAATGGCTTGGCTCAGAGCATTTCTAATATTTAATGTTGTTATTAGATAAATTTTGACGAATGTCAAAATTTTAAATAGACTGTGAACCATGTAGGGCAAATGTTGAGTTTACAACTATTAAATTAAAAAATCATCTCCAATACACAATGTAGTCTAATTACAATATTATCTTCTTACCAAATATTAAAATTTTAATATAAATTAATAAAATTAATTAAATAATTAAATAGTTTGAAAAATTGTAATAATAATTCTCTCTCTTCTTTTTATTGGCTAGCTAGAGTGTGGCGGAAAATATAAATGAACCACATTCATTTCTACATTGTAGACATTAATTATGTCAACATCACCAACATTTATGCTCACATTGTACATTAGAGATTGAAAAGTTATGATATTAATAAATGTGTTGACGTGGAATATAATTTATCACTCCAACATTGAGTATTGGAGATTACTGGATTAAAAATAGTTATTATGATCTGTTTATCTGGAAAAATTAATAAGCAAATCTAAAATCCAATCTCATGATCTGTTGTTAGAATTGATGCCGTTGGATTATTTTGTCGGCCAAACGATCACAAATCACAGCTGTCGTCACACGTGTCATCAGATTCTTTTCTCCGATCCCTTCACCAATTGGACTTTGACAGTCCCACGCACACTCTCCTGTGGGTGATCAGATTTTTATGTCATCACTTTATGAAAATGAATATTATTTTTAGTTACATAAAAATGAATATTATTATTACCGCTATTTATGAATACCGCTAATTTGCACATCATTAAATATTTAAATCTATAGCTTTACCAATTGAATAAGAGATTTTATATGTACATCACTGATCTCATATCTTTATTCAGAAACACAATGACTTTTTGCCAAAAAAAAAAAAAACTAGCTTTTTAGTTTAAATAACTGTTTCACTTTTTTCAATCCACCAGAAGAATTGTTTGATAAATTAGCTTTTCCAGTAACTATTTTAAGCCTAACAGCTGAAAAGAAAAATGCTACTCAATGGAGCGTTTCGGATTGGCGGTATGAGAATAGAAATAACTGGCCACAATTGCCCTTCACTTTCAGCCGCAACAACAAAGAAATAAGCAACAGAGAATAGAAATAATTGTACTCATGGAACTTATACAAATTTAATGGTAAAAAGAAATTAAAGTTTATTTGGCCAATTTTTTTGTTGCATTATAGATGTCCTTTTAAACAAAAAATATGAATAATTTGCATTTTCTAAGTAATTTCGAATTTAATGTTAAAAGAAATTAAAGTTTATGAATGTCCTTTTAAGTAATTTTGCATGTTAACAGCTATTACATGCATAAAAAGGCTATGCTACCGTGACTGATTGTATCCCTAATGACATTATTGATATGAAGGAATGACATGAGAATGGAATGATCATTCCCTCACTCATTTCTTATCCCACGATTGATATATTTTTTGGAAATTAATGATCATTCTAATGGGAATGGCAAAACTCATCTCCATGGGATTAGTCATTCCATAATTAATGGAAGGTTTTCTCATTCCCATGTTGGTAGAATCAGTTTTTCAAAAAATAAAATTAACAAATAATAATAAAAAATAAATATATAATATATATTATAAATCACGATTAAAATATATTAAATAAAATTATTTTAAAAAATAAAATTCAAATAAAAAAATTGAAAACTTACTTTTACTCATTGTTTGATTAAATATATTAACTACTTATATAAAAATAAAACGTAAAAAAGCATTTATATATAATTTAGAAATATATTATTTTATTTTTATACATCATATATGTTATATATTTATTCATAAATTAAATTATAATATAAAAAATTATTTTCGACAACATATACTTATAGGGTTTACGTAATGATATATTTGTATTAATCAATATGTATATGAATACACAATTCAATAATTTATTATATTTATGAGCGTAGCAATACAAAAATTTATTTAATAAAATATAGTATATTTTCTTAAGAAATAAAATAATTTTATTATTATCCTAAATAAAAAACAACATTGATATAAATATTATTTTTTCTATAAAATAGTGATAAATAATTATGTCATTCCATTCAGGTCTTATTCCTTCTGCATACCAAACGCATCAATGACAAAACTTGTTTCATTCCTTTCCCATAATCGTTTTATTATTCAACTCATTCCAATCCTACCAAATTTCATTCCACATAAGTTATGTGACATTTGCCTATTTGAATGGAAACTTTAAACTCTCTCCCATGACCTAGAGTTTAGAACATATCCAATAAATCCATTGCCCAAAACCAACCAAATGCTCTGTCCTCACTCATCTATCAAACAAAAATTAATATTTACATTTTATAAAACAAAAAATCACCTCTTCCTCAATAAATCCGTCATTTTTATACCTCAGACTAGCTATTTTCTCTCTCCAGCATCAGCCATGAAAATTTCTCAAAACTGCTTATAATCAGATTCTGAGCTTACTCAAATTCAAGGCCTTGTTCGCCAGCGATTTGTATTTCAGCTCACCAGTCATGGTCTCAATCGAAGATTCTCGCTCCCACTCTCACTCCCATTCCAATCCCAACATCACCAGTCTATACTCCCAAACGTGGCCTTACTACTACTACACTCCGCCGCATGGCTCGCTCTTTGGGGCAGCCTAGGCCCATGCTAGGGTCTCCCCATATATTTGGGGCCCCATTTTTTTTTTTTCAATATTATGTATTTGTGATGAGTTTGGCCTATTTGCACATATGAAGTGACTCATGTGTAAATATAGACTTTGTCCATTATACAAACTAGTACGTAACTCGTGCGATGCACGGGATGTAAAATTTGGAAGAATAATATAACCTCACGTGCATTAGGATCGAAATTGAAATCATTAAAATACATAGGAACATTGTTGAATCATAAAAAGTTTGGTAACAATCATATATTATTAAAAACCTCCTTGTACACAACATTATGAGTTTGATTATTTGGTAACTCCTCATTATCACAAACTAATATTTTCAGAAGAGACAAATCCTAAAAATCAAACTAATATTTTTGGTGAACAAACTAATATTTTAGGATTGGTGAACAAACTAATATTTTAGGATTTCTAGGATTTGTCTCTTTTTGTTGAACAAACTAATATTTTAGGATTAGTTATATGAATAAGGCTACCTGTTTTTGGTGTTCTTTTTATTCATTTTCATTCAAACAATCCGATGACTTGTATAATGAAATCCGAATCTTAAGTCGAAATATTTAAAAAAAAGAGTTTTTAAAAATTGAAAAGTCAAGGCAATCAGTTCAGATTAGTTAATGGTCAAAGAATATTCACTCCTTGAAATAAAGACGTGTGCTATCATTAACCAAATATCCGGTTATTGATATAGAGTGGTTACCAAAAAATAGAATGTGATAAGGACGCTTCATGGAAATATCAATGGGATAAGGTCATCACAGATCGCTATACATCTTAACGATAAAAGCTCAGATGGAATGATTTATGATAATTATGTCGTAATTAATGAATTAATTAGATGTGTGAAAAGGACATAATTAATGACAAGTGTGAAAAGGACATAATTAATGAGAAGTGTGAAAAATACATAATTAATGAGAAGTGTGAAAGGGACATAATAAATGAGAAGTGTGAAAAAGACAAAAACTTACCGGTTTTAGAAAATATTTAATGCAAATCCGACATTGACCATAATTCGACCTACTATTTTGGATAAATGTTAATTCTTATTGTATAAGTATAGATGAAGGGGCTAATTAATGAATGGGCTAATGACAAAATATGTATTTTGTGTGGAAAATTGAGGCCCTAAATATTTCATTTGTTTTCTTATGATGTTTGGTTAGAACAATTGTGTGAGAATAAATATTTTTTGCAGTGATATGGTTTTATCTTCTTCTCCTTGTTGTTCTGATTACTGCTTGAATGTAAATTATTAAAGATCTTTGTAACTCATAAGTAATTTATCAATTCTAAGGTCTAGAAAAACAAGAAAAAATATTTTTTTTCAATTATTTATTTATTTATTTAATAGTCTTTTTTAATTAGATTTTTTTCTTCTATAATTCTATCTGCAAATAGCCTAATTACCATACAAGTTCAAATCGAGAGATTCGAAAAGGACAAAATTGTTTAGGGTCTCCGAATTTCTGGAGACGGTCCTGCTCCGCCCCTGTCCTTCTCCAGAATCAGCCAATCGATGGGCCAGTCCATGCGCACGGTGCGGTCCAACATCTTCGGTGCCCACGACTTCGGCCCCATCGCCGAGAAGTCGCCCAATGTCTCCGAAAACCTCACCGACTTGGTCATCGACCTCCGCCTCGGCGAGCTTGCCAGCAAAGCGTCTCGCAACTCGAAGGGCCCCTCGTCCTCCGATATCGACGGTATATTCGACATCTCCACCGCCTTCAGCGACTTCTCCGCTTGCTCGAGCGACATATCCGACAAGCTCTAGCGCCTGGCTAACTTCCCCGTTCCCGGCCCGAGCAAGGTTGTTGTTGTAAATATTTTTACTGGAGTAGAATCAAAAGATTCGAACATCAAGTCGTGTCTCTCGAGGAAGGTTAGCCAGATTATTATGCACTTTTATTCAAAAACAAATAAAAGAAATAAAATTCTTAAACATACTAATTTAGAGATTGGTTTTGATTTTAATTATCAACTACTACGAAAATTCAAATAAAACAATAGAAATAGTACGTGACAATGAAGAACAAGCAAGCTTTAAGAAGCTATGGAGTCGGGGATATCCGTTTTGGTTCGAATTGCAATTAGTGAGCAAGTGATTGTTCGGTTAAGTGATTTGAATAACCTGCTCGTTCAAGTACTCATCCTCAGTAACTCTTCGTAACAAGAGAACAAACTTGAACGACAAATTAACAAGTCATTTAACACTTAGACAATACAGTTACGAACAAGCCTAGCTTATACGAGCCTATTTCGACCGACTCCTCCCCTTTCGGTTTTAAGAGTCGATTAATATAGACTAGAGGGTGGTTAACCGACTAATCAAATAGAATCACCAACATCATGCACGAATAAATCAAATTCAATGAAACAATTGGGAGTTGAAGTGTCACCCTTCAACAATTCTCAATATTTAAGAACGATAATTGAAAAACCCTTATAAAAGATCAACTCGCATAAGAAGAACAACCAACGAACACCACAATCACAATCGAAATCAAAGCATCTTCCCCTATTCCCTAGCATATGGATTTAGCTACTCATGATCAATTCAGCACAAACAATCTCACAAATCAAAACGAATATATTCATGGATTAAAGGAATAGAAAGTCTTACGTTTAAACCGAAATTGAGAGTTGAATACGATAAACAAGATTAATCCAAAAATGATAGCAAAATCCGAGTTCCAATCCTTGTTCTACGTTGAAAATTATAGAGAGAAATATGAAAAAGTGAGTAAAGAAGAGAGGGGTAGGATTTCTCGTTTCTGGGCGAGAAAAGATAATCTGATCGAAGCCCGATCTCATATATATACTAGCAGGGGTACGCGGCGTGGAAGGCTCGTGCGCGGCGTGAAAGATCCCGAGTGTTGCGGCGTGGCATGTGGCACGGGCGCGAAAGGACCAAGTGCCACGGCGTGGAGAGAGCAGACCTGGGCGAGGGCTTCACGGCGCGGAGAGTGTCGCGCGCGCGGAGGGAGCAAATCTGGACGTGGGCTTCGCGGCGCGGAAAGTGTCGCACGCGCGGAGGGGTGGTGTGTCGCGGCGTGCTGGCTGCCGCGGCGCAGGGACTTGGGACGGTTCTCTGAAGGACCTCGTGGCAGGCATCGCGGCGCGGAGCGGCCACGGAGCCTGGGGCTGGTGCTTGAATTGCTTGCGCTACCTCACATTTCGGAGTCGTTCGGGCTCGTCTGGTATCGGAATTCGATTATGCTTTTTCATGTGTATTACTGTATTACCAACGAAATGCTCTCTTTAATCATGTTCACTCAGTCCATTTATCATGGAAAGTAAATCCTCCCGAACCTTTCAACCTGCACACCAACGACAACGAAAAACCAGAAAATGCCCGAAAAACACAAGAAAGACCAAAATAGAGCAAACCCGAAATAAACTACAAAACGAACAAAAAATCAACTAAAAGACCTGATATGGGGGAAAAAGAAAGGCAAAATGACAACGAAAAATGCAACAAAAATGAGACAAACAGTTGCGAGCTTGGAACCCGAGCGAGGTTGCAAGCTCGGAGCCCAATAACCTTGTGCCGGATTTCTGCTGAGGGAGACGTTCTCCACAGAGATAATCGAAATCATCTCGCCGGAGGACCTCCAGCCTACGGTAAAGCTCTGCGTTGACGGCCTTCAATCGCCTTCGGTCGCCGTTGAAAGGTCCGCGGTGGCCAAGTTGCGCCTGTTGGCCAAAAACTGGATAGACAACCGGGTCCTAATTGGGGAATCTGGCGCCGTCTCTGTCCTGTTGGAAATTTGGCTCAATCCAATTACCTATCTCGGGCCAAGAAAGTCTCGGCTCAATCCCGCTGGGCTTGGCCCTTACCCACTTACCTAGCAGGATTAATTCGGACCCTTAGTCCTTGTTTGTTTTCTGGGATTAGGCAGGATATTCCGCTTTATCCTGACTTAATCCCATGTTTGGTTACTAGGATTCCGGCCCTGGATGAAGTGCTCGGCCCGGGACAAAAGCTGCTTTATCCCATGAAATTGGGATAATTCCATCCCATCTTTTTGGTGGGATTAAACCAATCATGGGAAGCGTAAAGTCCAATTTGCCCTCATTTATATCATTTTCGGACCACTTTGGCCCTCTCTACTACACAAATTACTGCCCTGCCAATATATAATCAAAATTTTGGTCTTCCATCCTCATAACGCAGCTCGACATTTTACGAACCCTAGCCCCAAGAACAGATATTTCGATTCCAGCTTCATTTTCGTCGTGAAGGATCGATCTGGGGTACCTAGGTGACATTTTCGGTGCATCTGCGGAACCCGTACCCATCTCCGACCTTGAGAACAGTACTTTTTCTGTTCTGATTTTCTTTTCACTCTACTGTGGCTCATCTCCGTACCCATCTCCGGGGCTGCCGTTCGTTGACCACCACCGAGCCGCGACTTACCGAGGGTGCCGGGTTCAAGGGCGATCTGAGCCGACTTCGTGTCCCTCTTTGTCGATCGTTTGGTCAAAAGGGGGTTTTCGTTCCTTTTCCTTTTATTTCCTAGTTTTCCAGCATTTTCTTTGTATTTTTCCACTTTATCATTGCTGACCACTAAGACTTAACTCTGTGTTTCATTTTCATTTTCCCGTTTATCATTCCTAGTTTCATTTTTCCCGTTCATCTTGTGAGATAATGCGGGAATGCCTACTTTGATTTCAGTTATAGGGTTGACTTTGTTTCTATGTTTAAATTGGGTTAGGATCAGGCATTCATAGTTTTGAATTGGGGTCTCTGGTGTTTTTGCTTGGCTGAAGTAATATTTGATAGTTCTGTATGTGTTTGATTCTTTTAGAACCTGTTGATTGGATTCATGTGGGGATTGTGTTCTTTTTTAGTAATAACTTGTGAAATATGCTGCTAAAGTATATGCTCGTAATTGAAATTGATTTTAGAAAGTGAGGGCATAGCTCATCCTGCAAGTTGCAAGAGGTTCTTGAATGGTAGTGATGATTTTTGAGCTTAGTGCTACTGAGCACCACAGTTATGTTATCTCGTTGTGTTGTCCTCTTCATACACATGTGGCTACTGATGTATTATTTGTTTTGTCACACGATATTGGGCATATAGAGCAGTATGAATAAATTGAGAAGCAAATTTTAATGCTTTCTTTAGAGTAATAAATACTAATACAGTGT